CTGCCAAAAGCCGTCTGACCAGGCTCTGCAAGGCGATTCAGGTGGAGAGGGAAGATGTGGCTGTCAGACCCAGGAAGCCTACCCTTCAGCCTGCCCTCAGCCCTACTAAGTGGGCTCTTCACCTCCTTCCAGCACCTGCTTATCTGGCCCATCCCAGGAAGGGGTGGGCTCAGGGCCACTGTCCCAGAGGCGCTGATGGAAGGGCTCTAGGCGCTGGCGCTGTAGCTCAGTCAGGGCTCGTGCCACATCACCCCCATGTTGGAACAAGGCTTGAAGAGACCCTTCCTCAGGCCCAAAGCCCAGGGACCGGAGCTCCTGCACCTGTGAGTTGGGAGGGGCGAGAAGGAGTGAATCAGAGTGTGAGAGGCTCTTGGATCCACAGCCCTCAACCCTGCCTCACCTCCAGCACAGCTGCTATACCTTCCTCCGCCGGGTCCTCACACACTCTTCCACAGCTTCATCCAGGTTGCCATGACGATCCAGCCAGGCCTTCCGGGCCTCCTGACAGGAAAAGGCGCCCAGCCCCGGGTCCTGCTGTTCAGCCAGCTCAGCCACCATCTCCAGCACGTACGGCAGCTCTGAGCGCAGCCACTGCAGGGGCACCTCGGTGCCTGAGTACTGCAGAGCCGAGAAGACCTCCTCTGGACAGGCACCTCCAGCTTCCCCTTCCTAAGAAACAGCCCCGCTCAGATAGAGAGCCCATCGGGAAGGGCACACTCCACCCCCACCTTAGCCTGAACCAAAATGCTGACAGTGCTTGAGACCATGGATCATGTGAGCAGTGCACAGTCTGACACCTGCCCTGGGGGAAGGGTTTGCGCAGCTGCTGCTGCTGACAATGACAGGTTTGGAGAACTCCCATCAATCAACGGCAGCCTCTCTCTTCCCCGACAAGCTCATCCCAGGCCCAAGTCCTCACCCGGATCTTGATCACCAGCTGGAGGCCTTCCTCCCTCATCTTGTCTTGGCGCTGCTTCTCAAGGTCTCCACAGGAACTGGTCACGGGGGCACTGAGGCGTCGTGGAGGCCCTGGTTCAGCCTGTCGCTCTTCCAAAGAGCTGGCATGGGGCTGGGGGGTCTGCTGTACTGGGATGGGGCTGCTGGTCCGGTTGCACATAGCACACACCCAGCCAGGGCCAGAGTTGCAGAAGGTACAGTGAATACAGTACCACGCCGGAGTCTGGACAGAGGAAAGCACAGGATCCCCCTGCTGGAAAGGCAGAAAGAGTTATCCTATCGAAGGCTGGCTAAGGCTCAAAATGGAAATATAGGAAGCTTGGGGGAAGATACTGGGGAACTAAGGGAAAACAGGGGATGAAGAAGTAGAGAATAGCCTGTGGTCACAGATGCAAATAAAGAGATGAGAAGGCCAGAACAAGATACCTGAAGGGGCTTCGGGCAAATGCCAGAATCCGGAGAATCCACCACCAAGCTGGGAGGCTGAGCCAGCCGAGGTCGCTCACATATGGCACACAGCACGGCCGCAGCCTCGTTCTCAAAGGTGCAGCTCTGGCAGGCCCAGTGACCCCGGGAAAGCTCAGATTCTAGGCCCCCAGTTCCTTGGGGACCCTCGATTACCAGACCCAACCCCTTACAGCCTCGGGGCCGATCACAGGCCACACAGAGTACTGCCCAAGGTTCATTTAATAAGGCACAGGCAGAACAGGGCCAGAGCAGACGGGCACTTGCAGGATCGGGAGGAGAAAAAGAGCTGTCTCCCAGGGTCGGCACGGAGGCTGGCTGAGGCCGTGGTGGAGCTGAGGCAGGTAGGCTATTGGAAAAATAGACATGGCCTGCTGAGGAGGTGCCTAGGACCCTTACCCATGGGCCCCCCTCATACCCTGCAGGACAGCACATGGCTCTGGCCTTTGCACATGTTATCCTCTCTGCCTGAAACACTGGCACAGTCATAGCTTATTCAACACTGAAATGACAGCTTAAAGTTCAGGTCTGGCTGGTAAATATCTCACCCCTGAAGTGAAGTGAAGTCGCTCAGTCGTCCAACTCTTTGCGACCCCATGGACTGTAGCCTACCAGGATCCTCAGTCCATGGGATTTTCAGCCTCACCCCTATTAGAGGCTTAAAATACTGCCAACTGATCGAGCTGATCCTTCTGACTAGGGTGCATCCTCCCACTACCTATTCGCACACCATGACAATCTATTTTGCTATGACTGGTATGTATATCTTGCTTGGTATGTATGTCTTTGATCTCCTGAAAGGCAGGAGCCAGCTGCTTGGCATCTATGAAACAGTCTTTAGCACAATATCCAGCACATAGTAGACTCGAGGAATATTAAGTTCTCTCAATTTTGCTCCCACTCAGAAAAGATCTCACACCTGGGGTGAACGGCCTGAGGGGCCCCATGCAGGGTCTGGCGATGGTGATGTGCACGGTCTGGGTGTCCGTGGAAGAGGCGATCACATGTTAGACACAAGGCCTGTTTACAGGTTGAGCAGTGCAGCGTGCCTGGGGCAGAACCGCAGAGGAAGCAGGGGCCAGGAGTGGAGCCTGGAGAATGGGAGAGAAAGAAGAACAGAATATCTTTCTACAAAAGACCAGGTTACATTTGAATCAGCTGTGGAGGGAAACAAATCACAGACTACTTTTCAACATATCTTTCTACCCAAAGAAACAATCTTAATCTCTTTTTTAAAAGAAAGGGAGATAATCAAGAAGAAAGAGGAAATTTCTATCAAAATGATCTACTAGCACTCCTTCCCCCTAATACAGAACAGTAATACCTGCAGCAGAGGGTATGGTGAGGGGGCCGGGAGCAATCTCTCTCAGTAAGGGGGCAAACTCTGAGAGCTGCAGTAGCTGAGGAAAAAGGACAGGGAATGAGTAAGGGCTTGGGGACACAGGCCCACAACAGGTTTCCTTTGTTTACCAGGCCCCAGAGCCCCATTCCTGCCTTCCTTACATCATCTTCAACCTTGTCTTTCAGCAGCTGCTCCAGTGCTTGCGGTTTTGGATGAGCATTCTGCAAACAAGATGAGAAGAGTTCCCACCTATAGCCTTAGAACAAGACCCTCCCTCAAAGCCCTGGTCCCCCCAACATTCACGGAGTGAAAAGTACAGAGAGATCCCAAGTTACAGGACTATGCCTGTGATTCAGCAGTATGAGAGTCCCCAGACTGGCTTTGTTGTTAGGCTAGGCTCCCCAGCCCTGGTGCTTAAGTCCTCAGGACTAGAGATACCTCACCTGTAACAGCAGATTGAGCTCTGTCCGAAGCAGCAGTACTTCCAGTGTGACTGTAGCAACTTGCTGCTCATCTGGCTCCTCCTGCCTCTCAGGGAAGCTCAGCCCATCTGGCTGCTCCTCTGTGTAGCCATACAATCGCAGAACATCCCGGCCCCCCTGCCACACAGGCAAACCAGTCACCACCCAGCAGGCCCCCTTCCCAATAGGGCTGGGACTCAACCCATTCAGCACAGCCTCAGGCCTTTTCTAGCCAACCCCCAGCCCAGGTTAAGTTTCCGACTCCCATTAGGGTCCAGGGGCTTCACCTGCACAGCATCCACCGTAGAACGAAAGACAGGGTTATTAAACTTGACCCCGCGCCAGTACCGAGGCCTCTGAGGGCTTAGGAGGTTGCGGCCATATTTCTCCAGGATGTTCAGGGCCGTGGAGAGGGTGTTGAGGTAGTTTCGGGGCTGGGAGCAGTCAGAGAGCAGAGAGCTGTGAGCCCCGACACAGCCTCAGATCCTCTGTCCTCCTCCCGAGCCGGGGCGGGCCTCACCTCCCCATGAGCGTTGCAGCGGACCAGGCGTGCAGCATCCAGCTGCAGGTAACGGGCTTCTGGCGGCAGAGAGGTGCCCAGTAGCGGCCAGAGCTGCTCCTGCGTAAAGGCCTGGCCGGAATCCCTCCTCAGGGCGCTCGCTAGCTCCTCGCGGGCTTCCAGGAAGGCCCGCTTCTCCTCCTCCCCCGGCATCCTGAGGCAGGAGTCAGCCCCGGCCCGCTGCCAAACTGGACCGGGCGCAGGCTGTGCACGGCCCGAGCACCGTCTGGAGCGTCTGGGTTCTGGCTTCCCGGCCCGACCCTGGTCGGTGCGGACGCCCGGGGTCACTCAGGCTACGGTCACTCTTCGGCCCCGGGCCCCATGCCAGGGTTAGCGGGAACAGGAAGTACTAGGAAAGAGGGCGGGATTGAGACCCAAATTCAGAGGAACGGGAGGAGTTTAAACTTAAGAGAGGGTGGGGCCAGGAAGTCAGGGGGCGTGACCATGAAGGCCCAGCCAATTATAATGGTAAATAGTCCCTGGCTCCTCCTCCAGAGCGTCTAGGCAGTAAACCTTGTTCTAGCTCGCTTCCCCTCTTTGGTCCAGGCTGGTTCCACCCTTCTCCGGGTAGCGCCCGGTGCGGGGTTACTTTATTCCCCCTCTAAGTCCTCCTCTCTATCCGCACCCCACTGGGGAAATCCCACTCAGCTGGGGGCTCAACTCTGGCCACCTGAGCCCGTCAAGCCCCTTCTGTCAGTCTTGAAGATAGAGTGCCCTGCAGGAGGAAGCCCCCTCTCCTTCTTCCACATCCTCTATCCCTTCTCCCTCCTACTACTTCTCCCACTCACTCTGATCCCTCTCTGACCCTTCCCCGCAGTCGAGCCTTCCTGGGGGAGCCACACCACTGAGCACCCCCTTTCCCACTCTCCCACCCTACTCATCCCTACCCCAACTCTGGCTATCCTTGGGCGGTCCTTTCCCTTCCTTCTAAGCCTCTCCCCTTCGAGAGACAGCCCCTGTTCAATCTCCGCCTGTTCCACTTGTCCTAGCCCCTCCCCCGGGCAGCCCCTGGGCTTGTGACCAGTCAGCACCGCCTCTCCTACTCGCACAGGCTGAGAATGGCAGAGGGGCTCCCTACGGTTTGCTGCCTTCCAGGGGGAGGGGGAAAAGAAGGAAAGGGGCGGGGCAGAGGGGGGCGGGCCTGGACGTCGGGAGTGAAAGCGAAAGCCCAGGCGGCGAACTGGGGAACCGGAGATCTAGCAGCAACTGGAGCAGCATGGCCAAGCCTTGTGGGGTGCGCCTGAGCGGGGAAGCCCGCAAACAGGTAACGGGGGACCGGGAGGCCAGGAAGGGGCCGGGGAGCCCCTCTGAATGGAGGCCAAACTGGGTGCTCCGGGAAACGAGGCCGTGCCAGAGAAATCTCCCAACCTCTCTAAGTGCTTTCACTTCTGCCCCGGGGGATTACAGATACCTGCTCTCTGGACTGTCTCTGCACTGAGCATAGGCTTCCAGGGAAATCTGGCTTGTGGTGCGGAAGAATTGAGCCAAGTTGGAGGGCATCCCATTGAGGGTGGGATCTTACTCTGGACAACTGAGACCCTTAACCGACATCCGGGTACTGCTCTCTGTGCAGGTGGATGTCTTCAGGCAAAATCTTTTCCAGGATGTAAGTACGTCTTCAGGATTCAAGCGATTTAACCCAGAATCTAAGGCCAATACTTGAGGGTTGCAACTTCTCAGACTGATCCCCAAACCCACCCTCGCCCCATGCCCTACTTTAGCAAACCTCCACCCAAGATAAGCTCTTAATTATTGATCTCCACTTTTACTTTGCCCTCTCTTAAAACCTTCCTCAGTTCCCTCACTTCCTCTCCCCTCTTTTGGTGTGGAGGGAAAAGCCATGGCCCCAAAGTACGAATGAATACCACAATTCTAACCTCGGTTCTGCTGCGTCCCAGCTTGGGCGAGTCCCTTCACTTTTCAGGGCTTCAGTTCCCTCATTTGTAAGTGTTAGAGTCAGTGATTTCTAAAGGCCCTTCCAGTCCCACTTCTCAGATGTCTCACTGAATGCTTTCTGTGATTCTGACCCTTGCAATATAACCCACAGGCCGAGGAATTCCTCTACAGATTCTTGCCTCAGAAAATCATATACCTCAATCAGCTCTTGCAAGTAAGTAGTGTGAACTCCTCCTGCCCCATCCCATAGCCTCTCTCCTCTTCATCCACTCTCTCTAGCTAACAACTGCATTCTGAATGCAGAGTACAGTTGTACGTGGTAGACTGGGAACATTAGAATAACATGAAGCCTGAGCCTAGGTTCCGAGGCAGAGGGTGGTGTGATGTGTGAAGGGAAGGCTGTGACCCAGTCCGAGGGGGAAGAGGCTGGGCAGCCCCTGACAGTGAGCTCTGTGCAGGAGGACTCCTTCAATGTGACTGACCTGAATTCTCTCCGGGCTCCACTGGACATCCCCATTCCAGACCCCCCACCCAAGGATGATGAGGTGAGGCACTCAGGGTGTAGGGCTCTGGCTATAAACACAGTGTAAATGATGGCCCTCCAACCTCCATGACTTTTCCAAAACTACTTCCCCCCTTTTCCCCTTAGATGGAAACAGATAAACAGGAGAAGAAAGAAGGTAAGAGAGGAAGAGGTGGCTAGGGAAAGGGAAATGGCACATTGACTGTTGGATAAGAAAGGGTCTAAATCCCCTCTTTCTCACAGTCCCTAAGTGTGGCTTTCTCCCTGGGAATGAGAAGATTCTGGCCTTGCTTGCCCTGGTTAAGCCAGAAGTCTGGACTCTCAAAGAAAAATGTATTCTGGTAAGCCTGGGAACTGGGGGACATAGAAAAGACAAGCAAGGCCAGGCCCTGGAGATTCAAGTCCTTCATTCAGGAACCTGTTCCCCAAATAGGAAGCTTCCTTCTGTGTTTGTGTTTAGATACCTTTTGTTTATCACAATGGTGATCACATCCCCAAATCAGATGGTGCTGTATCCACCTCCATAACCTCTGAACCTACTGCTGTACCAGGTATACAGCACAGGTGCTCTGATATAGTGAGCCGGTTTAAGAACGTAGGCCCTAGAGGGAGACTGCCTTGGTTCAAATCCTGACTCTATCACTTACCTAACTGGTGACTTTAAGTAAGTCACTTAGACATCCTGTGACTCAGTTTTTTCATCTGTTGAGTGGGTACAATAAGAATATTTACCTTGAAAGCTTGTTGTGAAGATTAAATGAACAGTGCCTGGCATATAATATGTACTCAGTTAAATGTAGGTTTATTAGGAAGTAGCAGTAACAAGAACAGAGTTTGTTGAATGATTCCTACATGATATCTTTTAATGTAGGTGATCACATGGATCCAGCACCTGATCCCCAAAATTGAGGATGGAAATGACTTTGGGGTGGCAATCCAGGTAAGAAAGGGTATGTCAGGATGCTGAGAGCAGGGAGAGACTTGGAGAGTAAGGGACGGGAGCTGGCCATGACCTGGAAGAAGGTGGAAGATAGTGAGCAAAGGAGGGAGGAGATAAAGTGTTTTCTTTGCCTCCCATTTCTTTTATTACCACAGGAAAAGGTGTTGGAGAGGGTAAATGCAGTCAAGACCAAAGTGGAAGCCTTCCAGACAACTATTTCCAAGTGAGAACAGTTGGAGGGCTAGTATGGGAGTCTGCAGGGGCATTTATTTGGGACTCCCAAAGCTGAGCATGCCCATTCGGATGAAGTGGGGCTTTGGGAAGGGTCTGAGGGAGTAGCTCTGTCTCTCTGAATAGTCATTCCTGTGGTTATTCCTCTTGCTTCTGGCAGGTACTTCTCAGAACGTGGGGATGCTGTGGCCAAGGCCTCTAAGGAGACCCATGTAGTAAGTACATAGTCTACCAGCCTTTTAGCTGAGGCTGGCTGGGGTGGGGGCGGGTGAGGAAGTGGGGATAGAGGTCCTCTTTGTCTTGTTTATGACCTTTCCAATGTGGAGTATATTAAGCCCAGGAAAACTGATTTGGGCTTCACAAACCTTGACACCTTTCTCTGATCCTGTGGGAATCCCATTTCTTGGCTGAGAAGGGGCTCATTCCTCAAGTTACCTATTCCCTATATGAGGACACCAGACTAGTGTCCCACCTTGCTATGGGGCTCACTCAGCTTTGCTTCCCACACCCCAGATGGATTACCGGGCCCTGGTGCACGAACGAGACGAGGCAGTCTATGGGGAGCTCAGGGCCATGGTGCTGGACCTGAGGGCCTTCTATGTGAGTCTGGAGTAAGCCCTTAAGGGAGGTGGATGAGGGAGGCAGGGGAAAGGCCAAGAAACTGACTGTTACCTTCTGGCCTTCTTCCAGGCTGAGCTTTACCATATCATCAGCAGCAACCTGGAGAAAATTGTCAACCCAAAGGGTGAAGAGAAGCCATCCATGTACTGAGCCCAGGGTTAGCAGGGAAATAAATGGCCTAAACTTTGTGTAGGAGGTTATCTCTGGCGTGTGTCATTCATTAAAAAACATGTACTGTCACCTAGGCTTCTCTTGTGGCTCCGATGGTAAAGAATCTGCCTGCACTGTGGGAGACCCAGGTGGGATCCCTGGGTCAGGAAGATCCCCTGGAGAAGGAAATGGCAATCCACTCCAGTATTCTTACAGCAGCCTCAAGACTTCTCCATCCGTACATCACCGATGATGACATATCTAGGCTAATGGTGAAAAGACTCTCCACAGTGAGAGACACACAGAGAGGTTCACAGAGTTACATGGAGAAGAGAAGAGGGAGGAAGGAGATAGAGGTGAGCAGGAGGAGAGGGGGAATCAAAAGGAGAGAGACCAATCTAGCCAGTAATCAGTTCCCTAAGTGTTCTCTACAGCCTGGAACACCCAAAGAGATTCACAGAGTTAAGTAGAGAAGGGGGAGGGAGGAGATAGACGTGACCAGGGGGATAAAAAGGAGAGTCAAAAGGGGAAAGAGCAATCAAGCCAATAATCACACTCCTAGGTAAAAATGGGTACTGAAGATTGGATTCTTAAAGGTACAAAATTGATAACAAATAACCATAAAGCAAAGATTAAAAATCTAGAGTAGAAGTTAGACTCTCAGAAATACAATATTTAAAAAAAAAATCACAATTATAAAAAATATATATGAAATTTGCTTTAAAAATATGGTCTTTTTTTTTTGCAAGGTAATAGTAGTTTTTAAAAATGAAAATTAAAGGAGTAATAACGTAAATATTTTTTAAATTAAAAAATGATAATAGTAAAATATATCTAGGAGTTTCTCTGGAGCTGTTGAGGGCAGTATGGGGTCAGTTCAGTTTCAGATAGTTCCTTGATCCAGTTTATACTTCTTCTCAAGGTCTATAGGCCCCTTCCAATGTAGTCAATGCTAACTACCGGGTTTTAATCTGTTGCACTTGGCACTTCCAAAGCGATTCCCTCTTATTTTGACTTTCTCTGTTTGCAAGTCTCTTCAGTGTCTGATTTCTGCCCTGATGCAAGCGGGCTGCTGCTGGTGCTGCTGCTGCTAAGTTGCTTCAGTTGTGTCTGACTCTATGCGACCCTGTAGACGGCAGCCCACCAGGCTCCCCCGTCCCTGGGATTCTCCAGGCAAGAACACAAGTGGGTTGCCATTTCCTTTTCCAATGCATGACAGTGAAAAGTGAAGTCGTTCAGTCATGTCCGACTCTTAGTGACCCCATGGACTGCAGCCTACCAGGCTCCTCTGTCCATGGGATTTTCCAGGCACGAGTACTGGAGTGGGGTGCCATTGCCTTCTCCGATGCAAGGGGGTGAAGGTGGTCATTTATTTAGGTTCACTTGTTCACTTGTGCTGCTGGGAGGGACGAACACTGCAAATAAATATCACTGGAGTGTGTGGGGTGTGCTCGCAGTGTCTGGGCCACACTGGGTTTGCCCCCTCTCACAGCGTGTGTGCTTTCCCTGTCTACACTGCTCAGGCTCCAGGTTGCCCTGCAGGGGAACTGTCTAAAGTGGGCCCTGGTTTGCATGCACTTCCCTGGTCTAGGCGGCTCAGGTTCAGGTTCTCGGGTACTCCACAAAGGCACAGACTCGGTTGGGCCTGCATTTTGGGCCCTTCCCAGGTCTGAGCAGCTCAGGCGACCAAGTGCTTGAGGAGCGCAACACTCCAGTATTCTTGCCTAGAGAGTTCCATGGACAGAGGAGTCTGGTGGGCTACAGTCCATGGGGTCACAGAGAGTCAGACACGACTGAGAATTAACACTTTTACTTTCAAGTGTCACCTGTGTCCAGACACTAAATGTGAATGTGGTGATAGGAAAGGGAGGGGTGCCAGGAAGGCAAAGATGAATTAGAGATCCATCCTATTCTTAGGAAGTCATCCTAAAGAACAGGGTGGGGGCTGTTACATGCCATGACAGCCATGAAAATAATCTGTATTTGGGACTTTCATAAGATCATTTCCATCTGGAGGTCTCTTGAGTGCTTCCTGGGAGAGATGGCATTTGGGCAGAACCCTTATAGGAATAATCAGGCTTTGGAAGGCTCTGCGGCTGAGGTCAGGGAATGAACAACCCACGTCATCAGCTCAGGGCAAGCCCGGAGGGAGAATGAGGTTTTACTGGAAAAATTATGGGTAGATGGTTGGGCTTCTTCTCAAGGGTTGGGAGGGTAAAAAACACTCCCAAGGCATTAAGGCGAAGGAAATTATACCACAGGACATTATGGGAATGATAGGTCAATAAAATTCTTTTTGACCTTTACCCTCCTCCATTCTGCAATTACTTCCCTGAGGAAACCAAAGCCCAGATAACTTGAAGTGCGAAAGTAACACGGCTTAGTAACTGGCAGAACCACTCTAGAACACAGACCCACTAATTTCATGGTAGGAACCACGCTGTCCGCTCTGTACTCGCGTTCGAGAGTCCACGGCTCCGGCAGACTCTCGACTTGGGCGCGGGCTCCACCCAGAGGGCTCAACGGGGCCTGTACGGACGGGAAGCAGAGGTAACAGACGCAGCCATCTTGCAATCAAGAACCGAAGTGGGATAGCCTAGCCAATCAGCCCGCGGGCAACTCTCTTCGGTTTTTCAGTCAAAGGCGGGGCAGGGTTGGATACTGCCGGTGACTGGGCCAAACGAGACCCTCTAAGCCTATCAAAGAGTACCATGTGGGCGTGACTCCAGAAGCGGCTCGGACTCGGAGCCCGGCTTCAGCGTGTGGGAGGCTGCGCCGCTTGGGGGCGGGAGAGGCGGAGCTCGGTGCTGCAACATGCCGTTTCGGCCGCCTTCATTCCGGGCCAGGTGGGGGCCGGGCTCCGGGCCGAGGTCGGCCTGAGCTGACTGGCTGCCTTCGAGCCGAGTCAGCGTCACCGTCGAACCTAAGTGAGGGGGCACGGGGAAGGGCCCAGGAGGGCTCTGGGGCTCTGGAGGGGGCTTCGCGAACGCGATCTGGGGCTCCGCTCGCTCGCCATGGGGGAGGTGGAGATCTCGGCCCGGGCCTACGTGAAGATGAGCCTGCACGCCGCCCGGTATCCGCACGCCGCTGTCAACGGGCTGTTGCTGGCGCCGGCGCCGCGATCGGGAGAATGCCTGTGCCTCACCGACTGTGTGCCCCTGTTCCACAGCCACCTGGCCCTGTCTGTCATGCTGGAGGTCGCACTCAACCAGGTGCCGCTGCCGGACGCCCACCGACCACCGCGAAATTCCCTAACACCCCTAGTCCAAGCCCATCCCTGGTCTCTTGGCAGTAATGCGCACCCACAGGGCGGGCGGCACGATTTAGTTACTGATGGCCCCTTTCCCATGGCAGGTGGATGTGTGGGGCGCGCAGGCCGGGCTGGTAGTGGCAGGGTACTACCATGCCAATGCAGCTTTGGACGACCAGAGGTGAGTGGGGTAGCCAGAGGCAGAAGGCTAAGGGTTATGGGGTGGGGGGTGTCAAGAGAACCTCTCTTGGTCATTCCTTCCATCTTCCCTTCATCCAAGGCTTAGGCACTGTAAAGCAGGCACTAGGCTGCTTACGCAGTGAGGAAATAAAAAGAAACGTATTTTTCTGGAGGAGCTAGGTGGGGGCGGGTAGGACAATGTCAGGCTGACACCTGCTGTAACTGAGATGACCCCCCCACCCCCCCACCCCCTCCTCAACAAGTGCTGAAAACACAAAGAAACCTCAACTGGAAACTTTCTTTAAAGGAAGTTTCTTTTTTATGTAGACAGTTCACCATTTAAGGACACAGGCTTGAACTACCTGGGGCCACAAACAGGCAAAAATTTTTCACTGAATAAGTACTGCAGTACTACAGGACCCAAGGTTGGTTGAATTCCAATGTGGAATCCAGAATAGGGAAGGCCCACTGTAAAGTTATCTGCAGATTTTCAGCTGCTGGAGGCTCTGTGCCCCTAACCCCATCATTGTTCAAGGGTTAACTATATACAGAAAAAGCTATCTAGTTATAATCAAGTATTCGGATCACACTCTACTGTTTTGTAATTTGATTTTCCCTCCTTAATAAATATCTGACATCTTTCCATCTCTACACTAATAGCTACCTTACCCTAACAGCTATATAGTACAAATATGGGTGTACCATAATTTATTTAATGCTTTACATTAAACATTGAGGTTGTTTCTTTTTTTTTTTTTTTGTTATTACAGACACTGTCCTATTAATACAGTAAATAATTTATAAGTAGAATTTCTGAGTCAGTGTATGTATAGTATACAAGTTTGGAAGGTTATGCCAAATTACTCTCCAAAAAGACCATCTTAGATTTCCACTCTCACCAGCAGTGTCTGAGCACGTGTTTCCCACAGCACTCAAGCATCAGGCAGTCATGCATGAGCATCAAGTAGGCCTGGCCCCCCCAGGCCAGATACAGGGAAAGGTCATCACTGCATCCACATCTTTGAGACCTGGGAGGCCCAGCTCAGATGGATGCAGTCTGCCCACAGTATGCTCCTCACTCCTCTGATCTTCCTTCTACACAGCCCTGGGCCCCTGGCCTTGAAAATCGCTGGGCGGATTGCTGAATTCTTCCCTGATGCAGTACTTATTATGGTGAGGCTTGGGTTTCGGAGTGGGGAGTTGGAAAGAAAGTAGGAAGGGGGAACCCTTGAAACCCTCACCAGCCCTTCCTTGTCCACACAGTTGGATAATCAGAAACTGGTACCCCAGCCTCACGTGCCCCCAGTTATCGTCCTGGAGAACCATGGTCTCCGCTGGGTCCCCAAGGACAAGAACTTGTGAGTGCCCCACTTCTTCCACCTCTTCTTGGAAGCCCACAGCTCCTGAGCCTCCTGTTGTTGGTTCTGTCCCAAGGGTCCTTCTCTAGACCCTAACCTGGCCCCACTCCCGCTGAGTTTGACTGCCATGGGGGTTATTATTTCAGAGTGATGTGGAGGGACTGGGAAGAGTCACGACAGATGGTGGGAGCATTACTAGAGGGCCGGGCCCACCAGCACCTTGTGGACTTTGACTGCCACCTTGACGACATCCGAGAGGATTGGACCAACCAGCAGCTCAACGCCCAAATCACCCAGTGGGTTGGTCCCACAAATGGAAATACCTGAGCCAGGGCCAGAGGGGAGGCTCAGGATCCAATAAAGAGACTTGGGCTGTTGGGCAATGGTATGACTATATTTATTGTGCCTGGGAGGCAAGGTGAGGGAGAAACCAACAGGCAGAAGGTGGGGAAAGTCTGGAGTCCCCTGTAAAAGTCAGAAGGTCTCTGCTGGAGCCATCACAGAATGAGAGGAGAGTCTTAATAGATCATTCCCTTTGTTTCTCCCCTGGGCTTCTTGAGCTTCTCGAAGTTCTTCAGGATGATGTCATATAACACAGCCTATGGGGCCAGGGAGGAGTGGGAGTCAGCCACCAGCTCCCAGTGGCTCTGTACCCCATTTCTAGCCTTGTGGAGAGGTCAAACTTTGTAACCCTTCACCCCCAGCCCACAGGGTCAGGGAGTGGGTGGCTTGGGAAAGCTGCCTCAGCCCATCCCCGCCCTCGCCTCCTCACGTAAGCATTGCGGATCTCCATGACCATCAGCCGGATATCCCGGTACTCTGCCTCATCCAGCTCGTGTACCAGTTGCCGATAATCACCCTACGGGAGACTCAGGTCAGGCCTGACTTCAAGGGTGTCCCTCCTCTCTCACACCCAGACTGAGGCCTCACCTACCACGTGGGGCTGCTTGGCTGCTTTGGTTACAGCATCACCGCGCTCAGAGAAATACCTGTGGGAAGTAGAAGGGTATGGAGCAGGAGGAGGAGGGAGCAGAGGCCTCAGTCTCTGCCAGAGGCAGAGCAGTGGGCAATGACTCACTTGGAAATTTGAGTGTGGAAGCCTTCCAGCTTGGTGTGAAGGGCAGTCATCAGCTCAAACACCTTCTCCTGGGGAAAGAAAGCAGGAGGGGAAGTAGAAAGCAGCAAGGACTGGAGAGAGAAGGCTGGCAGAGGAGTGGGGCAGTGCTCTCACCTGGACAGCCACTCCAAAATTATTCCCATCCTCAATCCGAGGTATTTGCAGCTGCAACCAGGTGGTGACCTGGAAGGAGGGAATGACAATGAAGCCCCATCAGTCCCAAACCCAATTCCCAGTTTCCTGTCCTTTGTTTCCTTGCCCACAGTGAATGGGAGTGTGTCAGATCTGTCCTGAATGCCATGGCCTGGAATTCTGGCTTTACTTGCTGTGCCTTCTCCTGCTAAGACCTGGCAGGTGCCATGCCCAACTGGTAGGGACAAAGGAGGACAAAGGGTTTGACCTGAAGTGTGTGGATGGAAGTGGGAGGGCTCACCAGGTTGAGCTTCTCAATGACATCCTTGATCTCAGGCTTTACGCGCTGCAGGAGGACCACAATCTTCTCATTGCAGCTCACTGGGCCACATGGAGGACCTAGGAGGTGGGCACTGGGTCAATCACATGACTGGGACTGTGCCAGGCAAGGAAAAGCCATCCTTAGGGAGGAGCTCCTTGGAAGTGAGACACAAGTCCCTTCCACCATAGCGATACCTTTGTCTTCATCTTCCCCTTTCTTCTTTTCATCCTTGTCTTCCTTCTGCGGGGAAAGGGAGGCTCTTGGGAGTCAGGCCTGAGGCTGATTTTTCCCCAGGTTGGGTCCCTCCTCCCAGGTCTTCCCAGCTTGCCTCCTGCTGTTTCCTCCGCTCCTCCTTCTCTTTCTCCTTGACTGGATCAGGCACTGGGATGTCCAACGGGGCCTTCAGATTGCTCAGGTTGGCTTCATTGAGAGCTGGCTCCTGGTGCAGGGTGGGAGAAGGGCTGGAGGCAGGGGCGAGCTCTCACCTCCTCACTCTCACACCCCCCAAAGCTCTCCCTTTGGCCTCTACTCCCTGCCCAGCCCCAGTACCTTTAAAAATGCATCCAACTCAGAAATCTTCTTGGGAAAATAGCTCCCGAGCAGGTTCTCTGTCTGTGTGCAGAGTAATGGTAAGGGAGGATGGGGTTCAGAATCAAATTCCCTTCCTAGGCAGTGAAGGAAGGGCGCCTAGCAAAGTAGGGCTGAGCACCCGGCTTGGGGAGGGGTGGGGTGATGACCACGCAGGTCTTACCTTAGTACATAGGTCTTCACGGAACACATCCACCTGTGGGACACAGGCAGCCTTTCAGACATCTGGCTTCATGGCCAGTTTATTGGAGAACTCTTACGGTTGCATGGGGTCTGACTTGGTGGAGGGGCGGGATTTGGGGAATAACATTCCTGGAGGTGAAGGGCGAAGGGTTCAAGTGGGAACAGATCCCTCGGTGGGCAGTGAGAGGAGGGATGTAAGAGAGCTGCTGCGACTGGGGCAGGGTCGGAGTGCCCTGTGGAATGGGCGCGGGGCCTCCCATGGTGGCAGGGCAGGGCCCGATCCCCATCTGTGTGTGGGCCCGGGCTCCGGGCCAGCAGATTTCCCTTCCACGCCAGGGCTCCGCTTCACCTCACCCCGCTGAACCTCGGCCGCCTCGCCTCTCCTCCCGCACGCAGACCTGGCGGGGCTCCCCGGGCTCAGGTGCTCTGGGCACGGGGCCCACCAGTGTTCGGATGACTGACCCCTACTCGAGGGGCTGGGGGGCGGGTCACGGACTCCTTCAGCCTCTCGGAGGCACGCCTCCCTGATGGGCCCTTCCTCGAACCCGCAGCGCTCACCTTGGCTTGGGCTTCGGGCAGGACCCTGAGCGTGGCCATGGCTGGGGTAGGGGCCTAGCGCCGCACGCGGAGCGAGGAGTGGGCACGGGGAAGGGAAAGTGAAAGCAGCGCTCGCTCCCCGCACGGCCTTCCTGGGTAGTGGGAGTGGAGGTACTAGAGGAGGCGGGGACAGACCAGAGAGAGGCGAGGAGCTGAGTGCCGGCAGGCAGCCCAGCCGAGGCTCCCCCTAGAGTCGGAGAGGCGCCGTTTCTCCTCCCCGCCTCCCCACCGCGGCCGGTCTGTCGATTCCCCGCCCACGACTCCGCCCACCTGCCCCACCCTCCCCGCCCTGACCTTGACGCCCCGCCTCCCCGGCCCCCAGGCGGGGACCCGCCTCTGGGCTCCCCACCGCTCCCGCCCCCTGCCCCAGACCTTGGGCTCTCTTCCCAGCGCCGCCTGGGACAGTGGTTAGCTTTACCTGCCTCTCTTCTTTTCTGGGTGGTGAAGCAAGACTTGGCCTCCCTTCCTTTGCCCTGCCAGCGTGGACCCCTGGCTCCATGGGCATCGTCTGGCCTACGCAGTGACGTTCAGACTCTGGCATCATCCCATCACAGGACCCAGTCAGCTCTCTTAAGACCCTTGTGGACTCCATTCCTCTGTAACCCACTCAGCGCGCAGCAGCAGGATTCCACCTTGCTCTTGCTGAAAACTTTCTCAACTTCCTGTTGACCTTAGAATCCAAAGGACTTTCCTGGTCCAAAAGGCCTGTCTGGCACCCTGTTCCCCTTCAACTTTGCCTTCCACTGTTTTCTCCCTCTTTTCAGTTATAAATACCTGGACTTTTCAGTTGTTTGTCAAACCTGCCAGGGTTGTTCATTCCTGCCTCAAGGCCTTTGCTCTTGCTAACCCCTTTGCCTGACACAACCTACCCTGCCTCAGGATGTCATTCTGTTCTCAGCTTAGATACCACTTCTTCAGAAAGAACTCTGCCTATAACATAAATCCCTCCAGGTATATTAGAAAGCAGCCTGTTTTAGTACCTTCACAGCACTATCTCTATGAAGTTAGTTTCTTTTTTGAGGATAGTGTGGTTTAGAGCAGCGGTTGGCAAACTTTTTCTGTCAGACGATATAGTAAATATTTTAGGCTTTGTAGTAACTGTAGCAACCACTCAACTCTGCCATTGTAGCAGGAAACCAGCTACACACTTAAATGAGTGTGTGGCTAGTTACCCTAAGATTTTATTTATGGACAGTGGCATTTCAATTTCATGTAATTTTCACCTGTCATGAAATCTTCTTTTTTTTTCAACCATTAAAAAATGTAAAATCATTTCTTAGCTCTCAGGCCATATAAACACTGGCCACAGGAGGACTGTTGCTCGCTGATCTCTGTTTTAGAGCACACACAATGGATCCCTACTGCCTGGGTTAATAATTCTAGCTCCAGTATTTACTAGTTGTGAAAAACTTACTTAACTCTGTACCTCCATTTTCACAAATGTACAGTGGGAACACTCCTACCTCATGGTGTTGTTGTGAGGGCTAAATATGTGAATTTATGTAAAGAATTTATAGATACTGAGAATGGTGCCTGACACGGAGTAAGCACCATAGTATTATTATTTGTGAGTTTATCATCAGGCAGTAACCCATGGGCCCCCAAACAGCAAAAACTTTCTTATTCACGTGGCAAAGAACTATGCTTTGGCTCAATGAACGTCTTTTAAGAAAATGAGCACATATAGACCCTCTTTGGAAAGACAGGGTAGAAAGGGTGGCTGAGTAGGGTGTCCAGATAGAAAGGCCCCTGAGGATGGTGAGGGGGGATTCAGTGCTGGAGGCAGGAAAAACAAATCAACCAAGCTGGAGATGGAGCATCTGCTTAGTGGGAATGCTGCCGATCCCTGAGGACACTGTTACCAGTCCTGGCAGTGCCAGTCTTTGACATCAGAGCCCTAGATAGCTTGATGTCTGCAGAGACCAGGAGACTGAAAGGACAGTGGGAGGGATAGGGGTCAAGCATAAGGATATTCAAGGTCAGTGACAGCAAGGAATGACTGGGGAACCCTGGCGACTATTATACTCTCTTCTTATTCTGCCCACCCTCTACAGGTCCTGCCAACCCAGTGATGAGCAGAGCCGGAGCTAGGTCTGATGTGACTTTATTCCTTTCAGTTATGCTTGTGGCTGGAGTGGGGACGAGGGAAGAGCCCATGCCCGGGGCTGCCTGGAGACCAGGGCTGATGATACCAGCTGCCATAGGTGAGGTACCAGGCAAAGGTACCCACGGCGGCCCCCACCACCTTGTGAGTATACTGGTGGAAATAGATGACGGTGCAGAGCAGCAAGAAGTTCCAGAGGCCCAGCAGCAGCACGTTGAGCAGGAAGACAAGGCGCAGAGGTGCGCCGGCAGGCAGCCCATGGGCCAGATACTTGGCGAACACTGCTGCTTCCTCGGCCATGAGCAGGCAGCAGAAGGTGAGCAGGAAGGTGTGGGAGGAGACCGTGTAGCCCCGCCACTGGTGGCCGGCCGCCAGGCAGCTGCGGCGATCCGGCAGCTCGTGGAGCAGCAGGCCCTGGGGCAGAGGCTCGAAGCAGGAGCCGGTCAGGTCCTCGATGAGCAGGAAGGCCCGGCCGGCCCCCCGCCACACGGCTGCCCCCACCACCAGCCGGCTCAGGTGCCGGGCAGTCACTGCCACGCGCCGTGTAGCCAGGAAGACCACCAACAGCACAAAGCCCCCCAGGAAGGTGCAGGTCCAGCCCCAGGCCGAATTCACAAACTTTCTGTGGGCAGAAAAGAGGAAAGGCTATTGAGACCCCTCAGCCCCATCCCTCCCCGTGTGTTCCCACCCTGGCTCTGTCTCCAGCCGCACCTATCATCCCCCTGTTGTTTTCTGTGCCCTCTACCCCCTTTGCCCACATCCACTTGGACTTCGCCATCTCCTTGGTCCATTCAGTCTTTTAGGGTCCATGTTTCCTCTTTGGTCCTGCTCCTGTACCCCCACGGCTCTGTTCCCCTCCCCCCTCTGACTTTCTCCTCAACCTCCTAGTCTATTTTTAGTGTCCCACACTGGCAGGAGGACAGAAACCTGGAGGGAGCCGGGATCCCTGAGCCCAGGCAGCCAGCGCCCCCAGCCTTGAGTGGACTCACATGTTGAAGAAGTTGCCATGGCTGGCGAAGATGGTCCGAGGGTTGACGTGGAACTGCAGAAGGGGCCCAAAGATGACCACTGCTGCCAACCAGGCATGGTAGAGGCGCCGTAAGCAGGGGCTGCCCAGGAGGAGGGCAGCCTGTTCGCTTCCAAAGTACAGCAAGGCAGAGGCCACCCAGAGCAGCACCCTGACCAGGCCGCCCAGCAGGGCCCGGATCCGGGCCCCGGCCCCCCGCCCTGCCCCCACCACCGGCCCCCGCTCCATGTTCCCTCCCCTCCCCGCTAACCGCTTGCTCTGCTGAGCAGCTGAGGAGGGGCTGATGGGGCCCCCCCGGACAAGGACAGGCAGTGACAGGTGTGGCAGACACAGGGCAGAGCCCCGTTGGCAGCTGGCAGGCGGGGGAGAGGGGCGGGGGGCAGCGAGGGGCCGGGGCTGAGGGTTGCCACGTCAGCACGGTTCTCACTTTGGGTGTGTTTCCTGACAACAGCCTTGTTCCTTCCCTGTTAGTCCTGTGTCCCTTGACTTTAGGTCCTATGTGTCTAGCTCGAACCATGTTCATGTTTCAGGGCCACTCCTGTAGTTCAGGGCTGCTTTTGTCCACAGCTTGCTTGGGTCTGTTTGTCCCTATTTGGTCAGCCAAAGTCACCCCCACCTCACAGAGGTTGGACTCTCAGAGCCCCAAAGATCAAGTTCACTCCCACCTGATAGGGGGTGGAGGAGACCCTAGGAGGAAAATCCCCAGTCTAGAGTCCATCAAATCCTTGGGGTTGTGCCCCTCAATTACCTTAGGGCTTGGCCACACATAGAAAGTGGCCTCGTGGCCTGACCACTGAGGCTGGAGCCATAGGGTGGTGAGCAACTTACCCAAGGGAAGTCCCTGTTATTCATTCAGTAACTCTTGTGAGATCCTTATTTGTCTTCTCATTTCTCAAAATGAGATTTGAGAAATGGGATTTCAGGGGCTACCTTTGTGGAGGCTCATGAAGTAGTGAAAGGAATGAGCAAGAAAGGGTACCTGGGTTCTGGCCCAGCTCTGTGACTTTGAGAAAATAAACTAACCCTCCTTGGTCCTCGTACCATCATCTGCAAACTGCCCAAGATGGATTCACCAATTAGGATCCTTCCAGATTCCATTGCCCATCCCGTGACATAGCATGTGCTTAGGGACTCTATACTTGAAGACCTCCAGAAGCACTCACACATTTTTGAGCTGACACAGAATTTTTCACTGTAATTTTAAATAGTTGCAAAGGACAAAATATCTAGTGTATTATATATACTTACTTTTAAAAAACAAAGCTATCTATATAACTCTTGGTGGCTCAGATGGTAAAGAATCTGCCTACAACAAAGGAGACCAGGGTTTGATCCCTGGGTCGGGAAGATCCCCTAGAGAAGGAAATGGCTACCCACTCAGTGTTCTTGCCTGGAGAACCCCATGGACAGAGAAGCCTGGTGGGTTTCAGTCCATGGAGTCGCAGAGAGTTGGACACGACCAGGCGACTAACACTTTGACAACACTAGTTATATACCTCGTCATTTTTCCTTTTAAAAATGTGACAAGACCTTAACAGTCGGAAATTATATTGCCATTCTACTCTCCCTACAGAATTTATCCTAATATGTTTTTATGCCTGAAAATCTTTCATTGATCATACATAAGTCTCTGCCAAAAAAAAAAAAAAAAGTAGATGATTTGAAACAATTTTTACACATTTCCTGTGATCATAAGTTGAATTTTTTTCTTCTGTATTGAACTTCCATATAAATTAGTACAAATTTCAAAATTGTTAGTAGCACAAAATATATTATTTGTACAACAAACCTTTCACAAAGTTTGATAATAATACAATAAGATTGTATTGGAAATGCATCTCTTAATGAGAACAGATGGCCCTTGGGGCCTTGATTAAATGACGATTTGAGGACACTTATCATTTTAGTTGGCATCTCCTTCTAGCATCCTGGAGGTAAAACAGTTCTGGGTGAGATGGGTGGCATCTCTGGGTATTAGGGGGTAGAGATAGGTATCATTTGTTAACTAAGCTTTGCAACAGGGAGTCCGTCCTAGGCGAAGAGGCAGAGGGGGGATGAAAGGAGCCAGTAGGGAAGAAGATTTGTGTGATGGTTTCATGCAGGCAGGTCAACTGGAGGAAAGAGATTGCCTGGAGGCCAAGCATCTGGAAAATTTATTCTTTTAAAAGTGTTTTGCTGTTGAACAGGTACATGTCTTAACCCCTTACTGTGCCTCTAAGACCCCTGAAGGTGTGCATTCTGGTTCCAGAACTGCCTTAGAGATAATGGGGAAGGTCAGGCCAAGCTACTCCCCTATAGTTCACACCATGGGTCTGCCCTGAGACATGGTGGCTGACCTCTGCATGCCTCCATTTCCTCACCTGGAAAAAAGGGTGCTGTGAGATGGGTGAGGTCCTGAGTGTGAAGTTGCCCAGATGGGGCCTGCCATCAGTGCCCACCAGGTGATTTCCAGCTCTGGGCTACTTCTTTCCATAGACTGGACCAGCTCCAGGGCAGAGCTGATGTGGGTGTTCTGGGTTCTCATCTAAAATGTGTTTACTTCCTATTATCTCAGTTTCCATTTGCTGACAAGTTTCTGAGGTCTGTGAGGGACTCCCTGTTGCAAAGCTCAGTTAACAAATGATTTTGGTATTCCCCTTCATCTTCGGGCATCAAAGCAGTGATTTCTCTAACAGAGGAGCATATCTGAAAGCTTTGTTGAAACCACTTTCTTAAAGTGAGAGGATAAAAGATCTGCAACAGGATAAAGAGAGAGACAGACGGATGCTGAGCCAGGTTCCCACAGAGTTTATTGAGGGAGCCAAAGCCAGTAAAAGGACAAAGGAGTCCTACTTCAACATCCCTCCTTGAAGCTGCTGGCCTCTGGCATGATGGAACATTCTGGGAGGGGGAGGACCTGCCCTGTGTGGGGCCACACAGAGCCTCTCACACCATAGCGTACCCCTCCCCCCAAAGACCCAGATGCATGAGAGAGAAGACATAATTCCCACGGTGGGAGGGTGCTTATCCATCCCCCTCTCCCTGAGGGGCTAGAACTCTAGCCATTAGGACCTCTGGAACAAAGGCCAGCACTCCTGGCCCTCTGACTGACCCGTCTAATCCTCAAAGTGAAGGCCTAGGCAATGGGCCTTGCTGATGGCACAGTTCAGACCTGGCCCCAGGCATCTACTCTAGGAGCTAACACTTAACATCCAAACATGATTAAAAACACTCAGGACAGTTCTCCTGCTGATCAGATAATGGCAGTCCTGCCAGACCCCGGCCAGAGACAGAGGTCCAAGATGATTGGGTGTGAGCATGTGAGAGGACCACACTACCCCAAGCGGAGATCTCCCAGGGGTCAGCTAGGGGCCCAAAGCCTGGGCTTCTGTTTCTCCCCAGCCAGTGCCAGTGAGTCCCTAAAGATCCCCCATAGGGGAGAAAGGGAGGAGAAGGTGGAGAGCTGGTGAAGAGGCTCACCCATGACTGGGCCTGGAGGTCAAATCTACTGGGGCGAGGAAAAGGCTGCAGAGGGGCGGGACACTGGGGCAGGGGTGCTGGGATGCTCCTCCGACTCTGGCATGTCATCCTGGAAGTACTCAGCCTGGCGATACTGCCACAGACGCAGATTCCCGTCCCACTGCAGGGCAGAAGGTGGCAAGCAGTCAGGGGATGCTGCCCTCACCCGGTCCCAGACACACACTGGCCTCCCTTATTCCAGCATCCTCACCGAACTGCTGACGATCTTCTCCTCAAAGGGATGCCAGCTGACGTCACGCACACAGGCCTTGTGGCTGGTCAGCTTTTTCACGATGTGGCCACTGAGGAGGTCGTACACTGTCCAGGGAAGGCCAGAGTGGAGAAGGGCAGCCAGAAGACCTTCCAGCCATCCCTCATCTCTCCCTGCCTCTCAGGCAACTTCCCACCTTTCCAGAGGAGCAAAGCCCACGTGTGGGAATGCTGTTAGTTTCTTTTCCCTACCTCAGGTTGAGAATATGATCTAGCACAGCTTGGGTATCTCTGGCCCTTAGCTAAATGTTACAGGGTCTACAGTTAAGAAAATGAAATGTGGCTTTAAAGCAGCAATTTTCTTGAAAGCTCACAAGATATGGGAGACACCACAAAGTTGAACATGGGGCTGCCTCCATAGACTTGTAAACCTGCTGCTCCTCTTCTGGACACCTTTCTGTCTCCCTGGATGGGCATTCATCTCAGCACCTCCCTAGGTCTATCTTAGGCTCCTTCCATCTGTGTCTGTGTTTCTTTTCATGCATTCCTCCTGCTTCAGTGGCTGAACATCTTTTACGACTTGCTGCTTTTTGTGTCATTCTTTCTGTCTCTGTTCCCTCCTACCTTTCATCTGTAATCTCTTCCCTGACTGATTAAAAAACAGAACCGTGTATATTTTTGGTGATCAAGTATATTTACTGACTAGAATTCTGTGTTCCTTTCTTAATTTAAAATGCTAATGAATAGAATGTTTTCTCTTTCTCTGTTTAAGCTGCCCTGCTTCAGGCTAAATGAAATTTCATTATAGTTCTCACTGGATTTTTTAAGATGCTCACTGGTGGTTACAGGTAGAATGCCAGGGGAACATTCCTGCCCTTCCTGAGACCCCCTGGTCTGACACAGTCCTTACCGACCACTTTGCCAGTGGAGCAGCCACTGTAGATGAACTGCTGGCCAGTGCTGTGGGTAGGGGAGAATCGGCAACGGATGAGGGTGTGCAGCACCCCGTGGCCCCGGTAGGTCATCAAGGAGCTGTCCCCTGGGAGCTTCAGCTTCCGCCAGGCTGGGGAGGGATGCAGGGCAAACCCTGGGTTAGGAAGTCTGGATTCTCCTGTATCACCAGTCCTCAGCAAACACTGGTGCTCACAGACAGTCATCTTTCCAATCCCCAGCTGGTGTCTCTTTCCTCACCAAACAGTCAGCTGATATATGCCAGTATGGCTCTGCTGATTGTCAAGATGCTGTAGTACTTTGGTATCCATTGGCTTGGAGTGAGTGATCCCCAGTTCCCACACTGGTAACCCCTGACTTTCCCATGGTTCAGCAAACAAAAAGTCAATGCCTGGCCAGGAGGAGTCAGGAGAGGGGTCCCAGCTCCATCCACCATGCCCATGCTGGGCCTTACCACAGGTTAAATATTTTAACTACCACTCCTGACTCTTCACTCTCCAGATCTCAGGTTCTACTTCCGCTCTCACCTTTTTTGGGCACCTGCTGCCAGCGGTAGTCCCAGTTTTGCTGCGTGGCAGCCTGGCGAGAGGCTTCCATGCCTTCCCGGCTAGAAAAACGGCGGATATCCCAGAGCTTGATGGTCTGGTCTTTGGAGTTGGAGATGAGATATCGGGCATCACCCTGTGAATCCCAGGATGGATAAGGAGGATCAGCGCTCCCCTCTCTCAGTTGAGGGGTATGAACGCAGGCTGCTCTTTGGTCACCTCTATCTTCACCGAGGTGGGCCTCGCCATTGGTTTCCTACCACGGGCCACACACCCTGGCTAGGTTTCCCCTTTTTTGTCCAGCACACTGGCTGGCTCCTGTTCTATATCGGATCAGATTGTCTTCTACTTTTCTTGTACAGAAAGCCCTGCTCCTTGTGTGATGGTGCCGATCTTGCAAACCGTGGCTAAAGGAGGAGCTTGATGAGTTGCCACATCTGTTTGCTTTGACACCACAACTCAGTCGCCTGACTGTGCGGTCCTGCCTCTGCACCCACCTTACTGTCAATGAAAGTGATGCCGTCCTGGTGTCCGGCGAGCGCGCCCACAGGCTTGGGGTCATCCTCCCTCATTGTGCGTCGATCCCACACTTTGCAGATGGCATCGTCACCCCCGGAGAACAGGATCTGGGAGCTGACGTCAGCAAAGGCCACTGCATTCACATCATCCTCATGGGACTCAATCTAGGGGAGAAAGGGGCCAGGATGTTTACAATGTCTTTCTAGGTCTTCCAACAAGGCAAGGACCAGGAGGCAGAGGCTTGAAATCTCAGGAGCAATACCTGAAGGGTCCGCCGGTTCTGTTCTCGATCAAAGACGTACAGGCAGCCATCATTGGCCCTGAAGGGAAGGGGATAAAGAGGGCTCTGGAGCCAGGACTGAGAGGACCCATGCTATGAATGCTCTGGAGATACTGTGTCTCCAAGTCCCGCTAAGGGGCAAGCCCTTGTGTCTTCTTATACAGGAGGTGGGAGAAGAGTTAGCTGTGACCTCCCATCTCGTGCTGGGGAAATGGTGCTTGAGAAGTGAAGCCACTCATAAATCTTGGCCCTGGAGAAGCCCTGGTTGTTCTCCATGGCTGCCTGGGTACGGGTATCTGCTGTGGTCTCTGTAACGGTAGAGCCCGTTTCTGGGAGAATTTCTGTCTCATTAAGTTCTGGAGGCATCCCCACAAACACTCACCCTCCTAGCACTTCTCGTCCATCTGAGGAGACAGCGATGGAGAAGACAGCGAAGCGACGTTCATCTGGCCTGAAAAGAAACAAGGAGGAGCTGCATTAACTGAACTTCCCTTTAGCCCTGGTTAATCCACACAGAATGTGACGAGGCTGGTGAGGCACACTGCTGAGGGGAAAAGAAATCCCGCCAGCACACATGCCAGAATGTGGGGCACCTCAGTGAGGAAGTGAGAAGAATCCTGCAGCCATCTATTTCATCCTGGTCCTCTGGCTGACAGGCTGGGTGGTTCCCTCCCAGGAGTCCACACAGAGAAACTTGCAATCAGTGTACTTTCCCCTCTAAGCAGGAGTTCCAGTTCAAGAGGTGTGCTCCTAGAGAGCCTTTCTTGAGTAGTTTCTGATGAGTCTGACCAGGAAGGGAAGCCAGTACCTTAGATCCAGGGCAGTGTGTGTGTCTCCCTCCCCGTAGATGTTGCAGATATGAACTAAGAGAAGCAAGAGAAACAAGAATCTTTCAGGGCTGAGGTAAGGAGGGTAGAGTCAGGGAAGAGATAGAACAAATGGGAAGGAAGTTGGACCCAGGGAGTAATTTGTCCAGGAAAAGGCATGGAGTCATGGCACGGAGGAGATGGGTATTTGGAGACCTCAGGTCCCCAGCTGGAGAGACCATGGAGGTCTGGGGCACACTCACTGTAATCAGACCAGCTGGAGTAAAGGAAATGGTTCCCATCGGGGGTGAAGGCCACATCCAAGACACTCCAGCCGACATCCCGGGCTTTGATGCTCTTGAATTTACGAAAGCGGCCATACCGGCAGTCATATAGTCGGATTGTCTGGTCTGTGCGAGTGGCGATCAGGCAGAATTAGAAAACAGCCTCCTGGAATCCTCCCTAGATCAGACCTCTCTCACTCACCACTGATCTGTGGAATTTTCCCTTGATCATGGGACAAAACATGTCTTCTAGCTAAGTATCTTTAAGCCAGCGTCTGAGCTCCCTGGATCTGGGGCTTTCTATCATCAGTCAGAGGGAACAACTCTTGTTCTAAGACAGTTGGTAGGACTAGGGTATGGTACCTTGACAGGCAGACATGAAGATTTGACCATCTTTGCTGTAGATGCCACAGAAAGCCTTCTGAGAGTAGGTATCAGTGAAGCCCAGATCGTTGGGCAAGAAGCTGGGGAAGCAGAAAGAAAGTGAGGGTAAGAGAAACTCAGGATGGCTCCTGTCCCACTTAGCAGCATCCTAACAGAGCTGGATGTGAGTACAAGGGCATTCTTCCCAGCTTTGGGTATAGCCTTTGTCTTTGATTCATTCTATCATCCTCTCAATTACTATACTTTTCCACTTTGCTCACTCTCAAAGCCTCAACCCCACATAACCTAACTTTAATATCCCTGAGAATCCTTTAACACTCATCCCTTCAAAGTTTAAGAAAGTTTATAGACTTATCTGGCCCTTGGAATCTCTCCACCAAGCCCCATACTCACTGAGACATCACTCGAGACCGTTCTCCAAGGGAGAAGCTTCCCTGGTGGCAGAGGCCCCGTTCTCTCTAAAGGAAGGGATTGGGGAATATTGCTAGCAGAAACAGAGGGCCACCTCAGCCACACCAAGCCCCCTCCTCCAAAAACATTGCTCTTGCTACAGGAACGAACCCAGCACATAGTAATATGTCCCACCAAATGCCCACTCAGGCTGGTTGAGAGCTCTCTAGCTCCAGCACTTGAGGCTTCCTTGGAAAGCTTACTTTCCTCTTCTCTGGGATTGTGGCTTCTGGCTGCACTGATAGGCCTGCTGCCAGACTGGATGAGGGGAGGCCTACCTGGTGCAGCATTTGAGGAAAGCTGAGCTCCCGCGCTGCCTGCCTAACTCCCAGCCGCCCTGTGGCCAATTCCACTTGTGTCTTGATCTCACTGCATTCCAGCTCCCGGGTGTCGGGGGTTGCATCCACTGTGAGCACCAAAGAGAAGTCTCATCCTAGGTCTTTTCCAGCACCAGTGGACAGTTAGCAAGGCTGTGCTCAGCCTTCTCAATGTGGCTGAATATACTGGGGCTGCAAAGACTCCCTCATTTCCTGAATTATCTCATCTTTTTCTTTCAATTTTTGCCAAAATTTTTTTTTTTACAGTTTTATAGTGGAAATCCTTTGATGTTAGGGTCCCTGTCTGCCTTTCTTCTTACCCGGTGGGTTGTATCGGTCTCCAAGACGACCATCCCAGGCACTGTCATGCTCTTCCTCTGAGTCCGAGAGGGCCTGGATGAGCTGCAAATTTGCTGCACCTCCTCCCTGCACCAACCTCACTTGGCCTCTGTGGAGAGACCCCCCATGATAAAGGGGAGGATCCCTTCCCCAGACCAACCAAATTCAGAGTCAATGGTTATGTAGTTCATAGACTCCCTTGTCCTCAAACCCTTGTACTGTCCCCATGTTGAGGTTTGAGGCTGACCCTCTGTTATTTTGTCTCCTATAAGACACACCAGGAAGCTAATTTTCACTATTATAAGAGGAGTAGAAAATCCCAGCATTGTATGGATGTTGACTGATCTACTGAGTTGGCTTCCCAGAGAATTAAAAATTCTGAGAGCATTTCCTTCTGAGTCTCTGCCCAAGGAGTCTAGCATAAGACATGGTTTTCTGAAGGGATTCCCAAGCCGGTCTTCTCCCTCAAGGAGCCACAGCTAAGAATCAAAGGCAGTTGTACCCCCTTTCCAGTCAATTCCTGGTGGTCACTTCCCTCAAAGCATTCTTTCTTCAGGAATGGGATTAGAGTTAGGTTAATTCAAACTTGTTTTTCAAGTGAATCCACATGGCCTCATATCATGTGTCAATGACTTCACTTAAATTCAACACCCACTTCCCCAACTCTTTTCTTCACCCCTCAGAGCACTTCCTTCCCACCAGGGCACCCTTCCCTCTTTTTTATTTTTATTTTTTTTTACTTACTTGGAAAATAGGTTACGTGTGTAATCATAGCTAGACTCCCTTGAATAGTCTCCTCAACACAAGAGCGAACCATCCTGTTTACCCCGCCTAGGGGACTGCTGCCAGTGTCCAGCAGGGAAGGCTGTTCTGCTCAAACAGAACAGCTGTTCTGGGCTGATGCCATTCCCTATTCTCTGTAACTTCCCTGACTGGAGCTGGTATCAAGGGATTCTGGTGGTGCCTGGCGGGGACACACCAAGGGGTAAGTTACCTGCGTAGGAGATAGGCCAGTACCTGGGCCAGATCCACATCTTCATCCTCCTCTTCCTCCTCCTCACTCCTACGCAGGCCAGCCCCTCTTCGGGGCAAGCCCTCGGAGGGGTCTCCGGACCCAGTTCCTGCGCTGCTACTGTTCCGTGATCCCATCTTCTGGTCACAGCATCCTTAAGTCCTGTGTGGGGACTCCTCCTGTCACCTCCTTGGGTTTGGTGAAAGCAAAGCCTGCTCTAGAAACACCAGAGTTTCCTGAGATCGATAGTAGCTATCTCTAGGAGGGCGACCCTTCCTAAGTATTGAGATCCCTTTTCCTCAGCCTGTAACAACTCCCAAAGCTTCGGGAACACAAACCTTTCCCAATCCTGTGAAGCAAAATAAGCAGAGTGAAACCTAGGGCGTGACCCTAGCTCACTAGTGAAAATCCTTTGAACAGGAATTTCTCAGTTTTCCACCTCAAACTCACCTATCAAAGTCCCTGGGATGGGGGTGGATTCCCAGGTAACCTCTCTGGAGAACCAATCAAAACCCCTCGCGGAAGGAAAGGCGCCTCATTAGCTTACCCCATCTAGCCAATCAGAAGCCTTAGAACTCAGAGACCCCCTCGACGCCCCCCTTACCGGCCAATTAGAGCACTCCCTTGCGAAAGCCGGTGGCAGCAACAACCAATGAGGTTAAAAGTCGGCCTAACACCCCCCCCTTCCTTGCCTCACGCCCACGTGGTGTTCCGGGGGTGTGTACGCTAAGCGGGGGCAGGCAGGGAGGAAGCTGAGAAGCACCTCCCACATAGCTTGCGGTTACCGCCACGCGCGAGACCACCCACCAGCGAGAAGCAGTCGCAGGACCAGCAGCGGCGCGAGGCCTTGTTTACACGGACTGCCGCCGCAGCGTCGGCTAACCGCTTCTCCGTCACGCGCCGCCTTCGTCACGCATCTCCCCGCTCCGCGACCGGCGGATCACGGACGTCACACGACACCCCTGACGGCCCAGCCCTCTTGGCCAGCTTACTGGACAGCTGAGCGCGGTGATTGACAGACGGGCGGGAGAAAGTGTGCGAGGGGTTTTAGGGGAGGAGAAAGCGCGCAACCCAGTAGGGGCGACCGCTCCTTGTGGGAGGAGTATGTAGGGAACCGGCTGCTTCCTGAATATGAGACGGAACTAGACTAGATGGGCGAGGGGCGGGGCTTACAAAAAACGTTGTTGTGCTTCCGTGAGGTGTCTTAACAAGGGATACAATTTGCTGTCGGTCCCTTGGGTTAATTTGGCTTCGCACTTTTCAGACGCCCTCTAAGGACCTACTCTTTCCTCCCCTTTTGCCAGTTCGGCTCTAGCCTTTCTCTTTTCGCCGACTGCAGCTGCTGCTGTCCCTGCCCTAAGGGGTGCCCGGCGCCTTTGGGACGTGTTCACGTGATGGGCCCTCACACCCTCCCTTCCGGGCTTAACTTCCGGAAGCCTTGTTCTTGTAGGGTTTGCTGTTTCTAGACCTCCTGTTAGCAGTTTTGGCAACTTTTTAGGTCACCCCCTGGCGGTCTTTGCTGACGTTCCCTAACACAGTTGCGGGTCTCCTTTGGCCTTTACTTTTTGTCAGTTCCCCTCAGCCGCCCCCTGGGCCCTCAGGGATTTGCTGGCCTGCCTTAGACCTTCTGTCCTTCGGGTGCCTCTCCGTCCCAGGCCGGTCCTGGCGCGCGGCGACTCCTACCCCCTCCTCCGGGTTTATGAATAACTCGGCTAAGTCCAAGGCCGCGACTTGTGTACTTTGGGATCCTTGCCCTTGCTGGAGTGGGATGTGTGTGTCTGGGGGCGGGGGGGGGGGAGTGTTGATTGTCCGTGCCGGGCGCCTAGATCCGAGGGCCGAGGTGCACCTCAGCGACCCCAGACAGCACTCTCTTAGAAGTGTTGTCATCTGTCCCCTCCCAGTGCCGCCTCGGGGCAGATAGGGGTGTCGAGACCCTTAGTTTCCCTGGGCTCATTCTCCGTGGGAGGGCGAGGGTGTGGTTAGTCCTTTGGGCGATGCCTCCTGGTTTCTAGGTCGCCAGATCCGTGCTTATCACCTGATCACCAGGGTCGGCTTCTTGGGCCCACACTTGGTTTAATGTTCTGCTATCACCCTTTGAAATGCTTAAAAAATTTTTGAACAAGTGCCCCACAATTTTCTCTTGCTTTGGGATCTACTAATTAAGTAGCCTGTTTTGCCAGTCAGTCATCTCCTATTGCCAGGTTACTTACTATCTGCCCTATAGTGTTTATTGTCTCAATAAATCTTATATATATATTTATAAATAAATAAATTCTAAAATAATATAAGTGAAAATGTTAGTCGCTCAGTCGTGTACTACCCTCTGTGACCCCATGGACTGTAGCCTGTCAGGCTCCTCTGTCCATGAAATGCCATTCCCTTCTTCACGGTCTTGAGTCACCATCAGAAAATCTTAGGATTCTGTGGTTTCTGGGTTGTCCAGCCTGGAAAATTTGGAATCCTTTTCCAAAATGACCTTTCCCTTCTCTTTGCCCTTTAAATTCAGTTATTCAAGTCCTATCAGCCAACATCAAATTTTCATTGTTTCACACCTCTCCCAGTTAGTTGATCTCTGGAAGTATTCTTCTCTAATAGCCTTTAGTTCTTAAGAACCTACACCTGGTTCATTAGTGTTTGTTTCAAATACAAACTTCCAAGCCTGCTTCGCTCTTTTTTTTACTCTTAGAAGTGCTGCGATCTGTCCCCCTCTTGTCATTTTTTTGTTACTTCTGCCAAGCAAATATGGCCATAAAGTCTTTACTTGTTTCTCTTCTCTACACCTTCCCAGAATTTCTTGTCTGGGGGAAACTTTGTCTCTACCAATTAGATTCCCTTTCTCATGACCCAGTAGTGTCACTTCTAGGAAACTAGAAACTATGCTAAGTCTAGCATAAATGTTTACGTTCAGCAGAGCAACTATGGATTGTAGTAAAACACTGGAAATAAAATAGATCCAAGCACACTGCTACAGGATAGGATTGGTTAAATAAATTATGGTTCATATGGTAGACACAAAAATGCCAGGTAGCCATTAAAATGACTTAGTCTTCTATTATTATGCTGTGGGAAATTGCACAAGTTACATTTTTAGGTTTCAAAAAGGTGGTAGTTCTTCTGGTGATGTGGTGGATGCAAAAACAATATGTTTCAATTCTGCATTTAAAAAGTATAAAAATACCCAGGCTTATTATTAGACAAATAGTAGAGAAAGCCTTGCATGAACTAATATGACAAAGATACAGTATGAACAAAGTATTATGGTTAACACAGTTCAACCACCTGAGGTCCACAGAAAACAAAAACTTCTGTTAAACTCATCTTCTTAACTCATTTAAAAATTACCTCTTTCCTCTTTTCTTCCTTAGCTTACAAATCTGTTTAATTTACAAATGTAGTTTAAAGCTGAACAAAATCTATACTCAAATCTTTGAAAGATGGAACTTGTGTGTTATTGAATAAGACATTTTAAAGTCATAGTAAATGTTAAAAAGAAAAATCTGAGGTTTTATGCTCAAAATGAGTCTTGACATCAAATGCTGAAGAGTGTAAGATTTCATCTCTTGTTCCCTTTGTTGATTTTTGTGTGTAAAAGATTTTTAAGCCTATGAACTTGATTATATCACTTGTGACAATAATTTTAAAATGTATATGACCATTTATATGTTAGGATATACTGTGTGTTTCATTGAAAGAAAATGGTGTTTCTTTAAAAAATAATTTTAATTAAGTCATTTTGATAAACTTTATTGGCCCTTCCTCTCATGAATTTGAAATTTGGCACGTTGCTTGGTGACAATTTCTAAGTGCTTTTCGTTTGGGCAATCTCCACTCTCCCCACCTACACTTAAAGCAACAGAGAGGTTTTCTAGTTAGCACCCATTTTAGGACTGGTTCTAGTGATTGCTCTGTAAATGTCAGCTAGTTGACTTCCTGTCTGACCTGCTTTGGGCATTTCCTGCTCATCAGCATGTCCACCAGGGGGCGCGCTGGGCTTGAGAGGAGAGAAGGAAAGCAAATTTTTCTCTGGCTACCTTTGTCCTCCCTCTCCCCAATCCCAGCCTGGTATGGCACAGAGCTCCTGGAACATGTGTCCAGCTACAAAGGAACATGCAGGCAACACAAAGGAATGCTTTGTCTTCTGAAGTGATGGATGACGTGTGTTTATATATTATCTTCTTATAGCACGCTCAATGTAGAAGGAAAGCGGGAAGTATGCTAGTTTACCCAGGACTTAAAAGTGTGTTGGCTATAAAGCAATTGAGTAATTACGGGATTTCTAATACTTTTGTGTCCTGTGTCCTTGGGAACCAAATTTTTTGTGTGGCGGGTAGGAGGTACAAATGTGATATAGAAGTTAAAAACCCTTTAGCTCTTGAGTTTGAATCGGAACTATCAGTTTGAACTGAGGTTTTGTTTTCCTATCCCTATCCACTGAAAAGATCTAGAAACAGTCTAGTAGCAATAAACACTCCTATCACCTAAATCTTATTTTTTTTCTTTTATTTATTTATTTATTTATTTATTTTTCCCATTTATTTTTATTAGTTGGGAGGCTAATTACTTTACAACATTGCAGTGGTTTTTGTCATACATTGAAATGAATTAGCCATGGATTTACATGTATTCACCTAAATCTTAAAATACCATTTCCCATGAAGGAAACCAGAACTTGGGTAGGTTTGGGGTGCATGTGTGCATACTCAGTCCTGTCTCTTTGCGACCTATGGAATGTAGCCTGCTGGGCTCCTCTGTCTGTGGGCTTCTGCAGGCAAGAATACTGGAATGGGTTGCCATGTCCTCCTCCAGGGAATCTTCCCAACCCAGGGATCAAACCTGCATCTCTTACGTGTCCTGCATTGGCAGGTGGGTTCTTTACCACTCGCGCTGGGTCTAGGGTAGGAGATGTACAAGGAAAGCATGGAACTTACCATACCAGATAGTAAAGAAGCCAGTAAACATTATCAGTTCAGTTCAGTTGCTCAGTCGTGTTCGACTCTTTGCAACCCCATGAACCGCAGCACGCCAGGCCTCCCTGTCCATCACCAACTCCCAGAGTCCTCCCAAACCCATGTCCATTGTGTCAGTGATGCCATCCAACCATCTCATCCTCTGTCGTCCCCTTCTCCTCCTGCCCTCAATCTTTCCCAGCATCAGGGTCTTTTCAGCGAGTCAGCTCTCCACATGAGGTGGCCAAAGTATTGGAGTTTCAGCTTCAACATTAGTCCCTCCAATGAATACCCAGGACTGATCTTTAGGATGGACTGGTTGGATCTCCTTGCAGCCCAAGGGACTCTAAAGAGTCTTCTCCAACACCACAGTTCAAAAGCATCAATTCTTCTGTGCTCAGCTTTCTTTATAGTCCAACTCTTACATCCATACATAACCACTGGAAAAACCATAGCCTTGACTAGAGGTAAAGTCAAAAGGACTCAGGAGCCAAGGCCTATGGCCAAAGATGGGATAATTTGAGCATTATAAGGATAATTTAATAAACATTAAGTATGTTTAAATCCTTGGGTTCATAATGGTTGTGTGTGTAACTAATCGGTCACAAAAAAAACCTACCTGGTCACCTTTTTGAAGGATGATATGAAACCAAATCATTATTTTTTTAAATAACTAAAACATTTATTTGTGCCAGGTTCTAGTTGCAGACCATGGGGTCTTTGGTTGTGGCATGAGGGATCCATTTCCTTGACCAGGGATTGGGACTGCTGCATTTCGAGCTCAGAGTCTTAGCCACTCACTGGGCCACCAGAAAAGTCCCCAAAACATTATATTGAAGATGGTAAATTAAGGAAAAGAATCAAGCAGTTATCTTGCTGTACCTGTATAAACTATGCCTCAGGGTAATGAAAACAGAAAATAAAAGGAGTGTCCCTTTGTAAAGGAATTCCAAAGATTATGACAGAGTTTGAGGAGAGCTTTTCTGAAATCCCTAACAAATTAATGAATCTAGGTGATGAACATCTAGGCCTGGATTCTTCAACAGTTAAACTGAAGAAAAGAGTAGAGGGGTAACCTGTAGATTGAGAGACGTAAAAGGTATACAGATTTTTTTTTTTAAATGGACAAGGTTAGGCTATAATGTCTAGGGTTCTGGATTTAGGTAATACAGGAAAAAAAAAGCAAGGATGTGATTATCATGAACCATGGTGTCAATTTACACCAGGAAGGAGGGACTGTGAAGATGAGGAATATGGTGGTGGGTGCTTTTAGTGTTTGGCCAAGTTCTGTTTTTCTGGGTAATGACTTCAAGGTTCGATTTAGTTTATTAAGCTGTACTTTTATTTTGTACAGTTTTCTGTATCTGTGTTTTAGTTTAAAATAAAGTTTAATAAAATGTGTTAACTATATTTTATCATTTATCTGGAGCTGCAGGGCATGCGATTTTATTCTAATTGGCAAAATTTTTTTTTCTTAAATGGTGGTTTGTCCAGGCTTTTTATTTTTTAAAATTAAAAAAATTGAGGTATAGTTGTATTAGTTACAAGTGTACAGCAGTGATTCAGATACATATATGTGTGTGTATGTATTCTTCAGATTAGTTTCTTTTATAGGTTATTATAAAATATTTATAGTTCCCTGTGCTATATAGTAGGTCCTTGTTTGTTATCTATATTTTATATATAGTAGTGTGTATATGTTAATTCCATTTTCCTAATTTATTCCTTCCTCCTACCTTCTGCTGTGGTAACCATAAGTTTGTTTTCTCTGTGTGGATCTATTTCTGTTTTGTAAATAAGCTCACTTGTACCTTTTCAGATTCCATATGTAAGTGATATGTATTTGTCTTCTCTGTCTGGCTTACTTCACTTAGTATGATAATCTCCAAGTTCATCTATGTTTCTGCAAATGGCATTATTTTATTCTTTCCTATGGTTAACATTCCATTGTATATATATACCACATCTTTATTCATTCACCTGTTGATGGACATTTTTTTCCCCAATGGACATTTAGTTTCCTTCCATGTTTTGGCTATTGTAAGTAGTGCTGCAGTGAACACTGGGGTGCATGTATCTTCAAATTCTAGTTTTCTCTGGATATATGCCCAGGAGTGGGACTGCTGGATCATATGGTAACTCTGATCTTAGTTTTTTAAGGAACTTCCATGGTGTTCTCCATAGTGGCTGCACCAGTTTACATTCTCACCAACAGTGTAGGAGGGTCCCCTTTTCTCCGCACCCTCTCCAGCATTTATTTGTAGACTTTGATGATGGCCATTCTGACCAGTATGAGGTGATATCTCATTGCATTTCTCTAATAATTAGTGAAGTTGAGATTTTTTTCATGTTCCTGTTGGCCAGCTGTATGTCTTCTTTGGAGAAACAAAAACAAAATGTTTTTTTGGCCTGACAACCACTGGACTTCCAGGAAAATCTCCAAAATCATTTTTAAGGCTAACACCTTCCTATTCCTGTGCATTTAGGTATGGTATCAGAGAGGTGCCTGGAATCCCAGTTCTCTGCCTCTTTCCAGGAAGGACTTTATTTCCAACCTACTTTCTTTCTCCTCTAAATTGTATTTACATTGCTCACTTTCCTCTTAAACTGTCAAGTCAGCAGTGTATAACATGCCTACAGGGCCCACTCTAATCCACATAGAGTGAAAAGGTGAGGACAGCTAACATAGAGTCAATGGTGATTCCTTGTCAGGCATAGTTATGAGTGCCTGGCTTCACTGACTCTTAATCCAAACAACACCGTCAGATGTAGGCACATCCCCATTTTATAGCTGAAGAAACTGAGAGGCACCCCTGGCCTGAGTCTACTATGTGCCTAACATCTGTACTGTGCTACCTCTGATCATGTTGTTTCAGTTAGCACATGCTATTTATGAAGTTTTAATATCTGTTAGTGCAGTTGAAAATCTATTTTAGTGCCATGGACTCCATTGCTGTGTTTTAGCATGTAATCCACTCTGACTTTAGATTCCTTTTTGTTCTTTACACATTATAACTGGTTATTGGCTGTTTTCTATAAAAACATTTGGTGTTTCCTGTTCCAAGGTTTTCTTTTGAGGAACTTTCAGTTATTTTGTGAATATTTGTCCTCATTTCGTAGGTACAAACTTCCATCATACCCATCTCAATTTATACATTCACTCAGGCAGATCCAGATCACGGGTGAAGTTACTCTCAGCCGTCACCCCTGAACAGTGCCGGTCACACAGAAGGTACTGTGGAAGTGTTAGCTGCCTCAAAATTGAATCAGCTCTCGTGAATACTTTGTGAGTCAAAACTTCAGGGTAATGCAGGAGGAAGAACAGGTTTGAGAACTGACAGTGCAGCCACTTCACTGGAGTGGGGTTATAGAGGCTTCTGCTTCTCTGATGCGAGATTGGGCATTTTAGGCCTGGAGGCTATACTGAGCAGCTCACAGAGGTCCCTCCATTTTAATTCCTCAGGACACCAGTACATACTATCTTCTCCCAGCGACTTCTTATCTGGCTCAGTGGTTGAGCTGCCTGTGAGAGAGATCCTTATACCACTGGGCCATGCCAGGGCAGGCTGCACTGGGACACCAGCTGCTTGGAAGAAGACTGTGAAATTGGTGTTAAAGGGAAGCCTGTGAAGACAGGCAGGAAATGAAAACAGCACAAATGTTATATAAATGAGCATCTCATTATTAGGCAGCATGTGGGGAGAGGTCTGGGGCCTGATCTCACAGCACCCAGAGGATGAGAGTGTTGTTAAGTTGCTCATAGTTTCTGCAAGCCTCGTGGCTTGCTTATTCCAGGGGAGTTGAAGGTGGGGGTGGGGGCTGCCGTGCCCTCTTGCTAGTTGAAAGCTCAGGTCACATTCTGCGCACACGTCCCTCCAAGGCCTCCAGCTCAGCCAGCACTTCCTTGGGCAGATCTTGGTTGACCTGCTCTGTCAGATAGCTCCGAATGTCATGAACCTCCTGTTGCCAAAAGTCCTTGGGGAGGGAGAACAGCTGGGTGGTGTCTATGGCTCCCAGGCTGCTGAGATCCAAGGCGCCCTCCTTAGGCACCAGCCCGATGGGTGTCTCTCGGGCACTGTCCTCCCCGTCGAGCCGTCGGCAGATCCAGTCTAGCACTCGGGCATTCTCTCCAAAGCCTGGCCACAGGAAGCGGCCTGCCTCGTCGCGCCGGAACCAGTTGACATGGAAGATGCGGGGCAGCCGGACCCCCTTGCGCCCCTCCATGCTCAGCCAGTGTTCAAGGTAGCGCCCAAAGTTGTAGCCGAAAAATGGGCGCATGGCAAATGGGTCATGCATGATGACCTTCCCTGGGGAGGGGAGCAGGATGGGTAAGGAATCTCCTTTCTTACTGGAGAAGGGTATCCTGCCTCTATCTGGAGGGAGCTGTGAAATGTTAGTGGTACTGGAATATCCTTAAGGCAGGGCTAGGGGAAGGGAATGGGGAAAAGATACACCTGGGAAGGGGTGGGCAGGAGGAAGGTCTGGCTCAGGGAGGGAGAGAAGAGGCAAGGTGGGCACAGGAGCGAAGCAGGGAGGGCACTCACCTTTGTGTTCAGCCGCTGCAGTGGCCTCTGAGCGCATGGCACTGCCCACAAACACCCCATGGCGCCAGTTGAAGGCCTCATACACCAGGGGGACTCCTGGGACACCAGGGCACATGGTCAAAGGCAGCCCTTTGCAAAGATAACTTTGCACCCTCACTCTATCCCTTCTGGTGATCTCAACTCCTACTCTCTCCTAGGACCTCCACTGTGGATTTTCAAACCCCATGCCGCCCCCCTCCACCTTGATTCTCCAGGTGGGGGGCGCTCTAGAGGCAGACAGCTGTAGTTAGCAATCCAGGTTGAGGCCCTCTGAGCTTTAAACACAAGAGGGAGGTGTGCCCTGATAGAGAGCCTGACCCTTAACCCAGAAGGCACGGATCCTGCATGATGTTTACCTTTGGGTCTGCGGCCTCCAAAAATGATGGCGTCAATGGGGACACCGTCTGGGGCCTCCCAGGCAGGGTCTATGATGGGGCACTGGCGAGCCGGGGCACAAAAGCGAGAGTTGGGATGGGCACAGGGCTCCTTGTCACCTGGCAGAGCACATACAAACGCTGTCACTTCCAAGGGCAGGTCCACTCCCAACACACATACCTTTGCAGGTACTCTTGCACAATTTCTTTTTGCCTCATCAGCTCCCCGCAACCTTGAGTTGGAGGTTGGTAGGGAGAAGGGAGCCAGGACATCTCCCCTGAAGATCAAGTTATTTATCCATGATGGTGCTGCCAACTGAGTTATGGGAGAAGGGTGGGAGAGGAACTGGGGTTTAGCAGGATATTAATGTTTATGCTAAGTTAAAGAACTTGGCCAGTGCTCAAGGGAATGGGGTTAAATACTGTCATAGAGTTATAATAGAAATTTTGCCCCAGAAACGCTTTTAATTTATGAGATTATTATTTAAATAAACACTCAAACCTAAAGCAAAAACTGAGACTGTCAGGTCAGTATTTCAGACAACTGACTTTCCATCAGCAAATGGTGGAAGACAGAATTTCCTGAGTTATCAAAATGCAAATAGGAACTAATTTTAAAGCTAGCAGTACTTTGGTAATTTCCCTGGGTCTGCTTAGACACTGCTGGAGTGACAGGGCTTGAAGAACTCAGTTGAGGACGTAACCTGGACAGCTGTAACCTGAGGAGGTCATCTGAGGCCCCTTCAGATGCCTGGAGAGGAGTTGGGACCGAGTCAGTGGAACATGTATAAAGCACCATCATGGGGGCCCTGAATGGACCCAGGGTTTTCTCTGCTAGAAGCTGCTGCTCAGACCTGGGGGGCAAGGGAGTCACAGAGTCAGTGTGCCCTGCCCTGCTCCAGCCCCGGCTACTGCCTCCACTCATATAAGAATCATCGCTTACGCTTCTGTCTGGCACTTTCATCCCCAGTTCAGGACCTAGCTCAGGGTATTATTCTGAGAATTGAAGCTGGGTACAACACGTCCTAGTAATACCCCTGAATCCAGAGATGATGAAAGGGTTGGGCAACTAGCCTGTGGGGAAATATGAAAGTTTCTTGGATTTCTCAGTTGGGTGGGGAGGCTGAGGAAGGCTTAATGATGGTGTTAGAGAAAATGAAAGATGATTAGATGAAGAGGGTGACTGTTAAGCCAGCCTGGACAACTTGAATGTAGGCTTCAGTGACCACAGGCCACCCTCCCCTACTAAGTTCTTCTTTGCTCCCAACCCTAGATCTCAGCTGTCCAAATGCCAAAGGCCACTAAAAGCTGAAGGTCCAGAGTGCAGGGCTGGGGGAAGGGGAGGACTGCAGGGCACTGGAGAGTAATGACAGGGTTGAGAAACTAGCTTCTAGGAGAGGCTAAAGAGCTGGTATAACTTCATTTGAAAGGACTGGGGTGCATATGTTGGAAGAGCAGGGGAAAGGTAACAATACTGACCTTTAGCCAATGGTTATATTAGGGGGGTGGCAGGCTTCCCTCTTCCTAATGAGTCCAACTTATGGATTGTGCTTTGAGTCCAATTCTTTCTATAATAATTTCAAAGACAGCCCTCCCCCTTTAAAAACATTCAGCTTATATTAATTGAGACTTTACTATGTATCTGGCACTATGTTCAACCTTTTAGATGCATTATTTAATTTAATCCTCCAACACCTTATGAGCTAGGTACTGTAATAACTACCCCCATTCAAGTGATGGGGACCCTGAAGCTCAGGTTTTAGCAACTCAATCAGGCCACAGAGCCAATACTTGGTGGAGCTGGGATGTGAATTGAGATCTTGCTTAGGGTTAGAAAACTGAGAACATTCATAACTCCCTGTGCCTCCCAGAGGTCCTGGGAGGTGGCTGCAGGTTGAGGAGAACTCCTTTACATCAACAAGGTACTGAGCCCCGGGTCTGACTAACCCCTCGTACCAGGTTTCCAGGGTTTGCCTAGCCAAGAGGTCACGGTGACGCCAGGTGGAAGAGGCTGATCGATGCCCTCCCAGTACACGCCGCCATCACTGGTCTCAGCCACATTGGTGAAAATGGTGTTACTCTGGACTGTGGCCATAGCATTGGGATTGGTGGTGGCAGAGGTGCCAGGGGCCACCCCAAAGAAGCCATTCTCAGGGTTGATGGCCCGGAGTCGACCTGTCGGGAGGAGAAGTGAAAAAAAGGAAGGACTGACCAGGAAGAGTTGAGAGGCTCAGTCTTGGAAGGTCTTGCTCAGCTCCTCCCTGCCCTGAGCTAGACCCGAGATCTGAGGGGAAAGACTGCATCTCCAGGGTTGGGGGGTGCCAGGAGGCAGGGGGGTGGGGCGGTCATTCAGGCAAAGGTTCTCACTGACAAAGTTCACCCTGAGCAGTGAGGGGAGCGTCGAACCAGAACCCAGAGTGCGATCCGAGGGCCTCTCACCATCACTGTCAAACCTCATCCAGGCAATGTCATCTCCCACACACTCCACTTTCCAGCCTGGCAGTGCCGGCCGCATCATGGCCAGGTTTGTCTTGCCACAAGCACTGGGGAAGGCGGCTGCTATGTAGCGCTTCTTCCCCGCGGGATTGGTGATACCCAGGATCTGCGAGGTGGGGAGAGGGAGGACAAGGAAGAGAGCACCAGGCAGAGGTCAGGAATGGTCTGCTTGGGAAAGACAGCTAGGGGTCGACAGGGAGGACCAAGGTTTATTCACTAATTGGGTGCACCACCTTGCCATGGGGCCTGGGGTGGCAGCAAGGGGAAGCCCCCTAACAGTCAGCAGCCTCAGGCCAAAGCTTCGGGCATTTGGGCTGAGTCCCTGGCCTCCAGTCTGGCAGTGGAGAGGCAGTCTGAGGCTGACTGGTCAGGGCCCGCCCCTGGCCTGCCCCCCTCAGATCCTCACCAGGCCCTCACCAGCATGTGCTCCGCCAGCCAGCCCTCATCCCGGGCCAGCCGAGAGGCGATGCGAAGGGCAAAGCACTTCTTGCCCAGCAGGGAGTTGCCACCATAGCCGCTGCCGAAGGAGATGATCTCCCGCTGGTCGGGCACGTGGCCAATCAGGGTTTTCTCTGGATTGCATGGCCACTGGCTCACCGGCTCCCCTGGGGACAATGGATTCATGGGGCTGCTGGCAGGGGCATCAGGCATCAGGCTGTCAGGGGCTGGAGGGATTGGGGTTGGCAGGAAAGACACTGGGAGCGATGGTGGTGTCAATGGGTGGCTAAAACCTCCTACCTCATGACACCTGTCAGCTCCCGTGCCCCTATTCTTGGATAATTCTTCTCAATCCTGGTGCAAGCTACTTTTGTCAACACAGCCTCACCCCCAGCCCATTCCTGCTCTAGAACATGGGACTTCACTATCTCACTAATCAGGATGGCTAGGATGTGGGGTTCCCTCTGAGTACAAGCGGGCCTCTGTGTCCTGCCCTGGGCAGAGCAGGTGCTCACCTTGCCCAGTCAAGGGCTGGCCCACGGAGTGAAGGCATTTGACAAAGTCGCCATCTCCCAGGGCCTGAAGCACAGGCGTCCCCAGCCGGGTCATGATCCGCATGCTCGCCACCACGTAGGCAGAGTCCGTGAGCTGCACTCCGATGCGGGACAGCGGTGAGCCCACGGGACCCATGCTGAACGGAAGCACGTACATGGTTCGGCCTATGGAGGAAAACGCCACCTGGATGATGGGTTCCAACCTGTTGATACCTTCAGTGCCCCTGCCTCTGTGTCCCTGCCCTGATTACCCTGCATGCAGCCTGGAAACCTCTCATCCACAGCTTGCTGGAACTCAGCTGGGGACATCCAGTTGCCCAGCTGCCCACGGGCCCCACCAGTTGGGAGGGGCACCGTGTCCCGTTGAGAAGGAGTTACAATCACCGTCTTGCTCTCTACTCGTGCCACATCCTTGGGGTCTGTGCGGGCCAGCCAGCTGGGGGAGAGCGGATATCAAGAAGATAGTGGCCAGCAGACCGCCCTTACCCCAGACCCACTCTTTCATGTCCGGCTTTGTCTCCAGGTCTTCTGTTGGCCTTAATTTTTTCCCATCCATTTGCATCTCAGTTCTTCCCCCAGATTTTTTTTTTTAATTTTCAGGTCTTAGTTGCAGCATGCCAAGCACATGGGCTCAGTAGTTGCAGTGTGTGGGCTTAGTTCCTCTGCACCATGTGGGGTCTTAGTTCCCAGACCAGGGATCAAACTCGTGTCCTCTGCATTGCAAGGCAGATTCTTAACCACTGGATCACCAGGGAAGTTCCCTCCCCCAGATTTTGTCCCAATCTAAGGGGTAGTTCCCTTGGCCCCGAGCCCTCTAATGGCCTCTGCCCTGGCAAAAACTCCCTGAATTTGTAAGTTAAAAAAAAAAAAAAAAAGTAAAGGCTTTTATTTGTATCAACATAAAAGTATAGACCAACTGCAATAATTTCTGATGGTTTCCCTCAAAGCTCCCATTCTGCTTATTCCATTGGCGTGGTTTATTTAAGTTGAATTTTGTCTCGGTAAACCCAAAGTGGCCTCGGTCCACGCAGCTGCCCCCATCTCTCAGGTTCCTGGGCTCAGGACTTACCAATTGTTGTACTTCGGGAGTTTTCGGATGAGTCCCTGCTGTTCCAGCAGTGCCAGTGTGGCAGTGTTCTCCGCCTCGGTCCCATCACAGATGTGGATGCCCTCTGGTTGGCACAGGCGGGCACTGTGCTCCACAAAGTCTCGAACCTTAGCAGGCAGCTGGCCCAGATCTCCGCTGAGGACTCGCAGCGTCTGGATGCTGCACCGTGATGACCAGCCCCAGGGGCTCAGCCTGTGCCAGCTAAGTCTGCAAGAGAAGAAACAGAGAAGTAATGGGCCAGGTGTTATCATGGAAGATGGGCAAGTCAAGGGTACAGAGGGCTGGGCTTCTAAGGACAAGCTAAAGTCTGTCTGGGTACAGGCACCATAAAGAGGTTGGACTAGGTGAAGGAGATGGGTTCAGGCCATGTGTATTTTGTGGCCTTTATGAGGCGTAGTGAGGGTGTCTCCTGACTAGCAAGGGACAGGTATTGCCAAATGAGCATAAAGGCACATGTCTGGCAATATGGAAGTGTATGTTTAGGCATGCTGATGTTACTGTAGGCTTGGCTCATGCCCATGGTTTACTATGTCTGGTCAGTGTCTGGAAATGAGCAGGTGTCCTGTGGCCCAAATGTCAATAAATTGTATCCACTGCTTCATGTGCCTGGTATTCTTGTAATTCTCAAATATAGTTTTGCATGCTGTAAGGCTGAAAGCTTCAAGCAGAGGACCAGGTCTGTGACATGGTTTAAGTCCCAGTTTTCTCGATTTGGGCCCTTGCACAAAGAGTGGGTGATCGGATGTCAGGGTTTCAGGCATTGGATCTGTGGCTGCCCAGCGGCCCAACAGGGACTGCATAAAGTGTTGTCACTGGGTAGGTAGGTACTTTCAAACTATGTGGAAGGCTGACTGTCAGGGAATATCATTGGCTGAGCTTCATGCCCCTGGAATCTGTCCCTTCACACCCCTAAAAGAGGGAAAAGTAGGGTCTGCTCTGATTGGCCTGTACCCAAGGTGGAGTGACCCAGAGAGAGCAAAGGCCAAGAGAGGGAAGTTACCCTCCTCCTATGCCAGGGCCTTACCCATCAGAAACTGTGCCCCACGTGCCCAGCACTGCATGACCCTGCCCCTCCGTTGGCTCTCTAGAGAACAAATGCCTAGAGCTTTGGCAGTGGAGTGGAACATTAGACTGTAGGGTGCTCAGACTCACAGGGAAGAAGCCTGGGGAAGAGAGGACACTCAGGCCGTGACTGGGAGCTGGGTGGCTTCACTGGGCAGGGCAGGGTGGAGACCTAATGTGGCCCTAGGGGCAGAGGAGGAAGCCTCCTGGGACCTGCTCTGTTCTGCTTCTGAGAGTTTTCCCCAAGCTTTACTTTTAAAGGCATTCAGCTTTGGGGAGAACCTCTCTCTGCGGGGAGACTGCCTCCGGGAGTCTCCTGTGAAGCTCCCCCTGCTCTTTTCCAGTCTCTGGAGTGGGACCTTCTCCTTTTCCTCTGCTCTAGAGGCCAGCCCTTGTGGGTGGCCTAGGGGAACCAGCTGTGGGAGAGACAGAGGGGCAGCTCAGACTCTGAGACAAAAGCTGAGAAGGGAGACTACGAGGGAAGACAGGAAGCTGTGAAAAGGGGGTGAAGATAGACAGGCAGGGCCTGGGGGTTCGTCCTGGAGAGGGGATGAAGCCAGCCAGGTAAGAATGAAGGCAACTTGGTCCCTACCTCTACCATGCCTCCCTCCCTCTTGGGACCCCAGGCCTCTCTAGCTGCGCAGAGCTCCCCGCCAGGTTCCCATGGTGGGGGGGGGGGGGGGGGCGGAGGCTGGGAAATGGCTGTTTACCTTCTACCTTCTTTAGGGAGCTCTGAGCTCAGTCCCCAGAGGTTCGTGCATCCTTGACCCCAGGGCCCTACTGCTCCTCACTGCAACCTGTGGAACCACTTACATCTGTACAGCAAAGGAGGAGATATGGAGCCTGGGCCCCGCGAGGTCGAGCGAGGAGGGGAAAGGAAGTTCTAAGAGTGGCAGATACAGACGGTGTGGTCAGGGACCAGCAGAGCAGGAGGGAGGAGGGGACGGAAACCCAGAGACCCGGAGCGGCTGAGGCCGCCCCGATCTCCGGCGTGACGCACGACCCGAGAGGACGAGATCCAGACACACTCGCCACCTGCCCGCCTCCTCCTCTCGGACGCAAAACCAGGCCGAGGGCGGCGAGCAGGACAAGGCATATGGCAGCCCTGAGGGGGCGAGCGCGGCGGAAAGTGAGGGTCGGCCCCGGTCTGGGGGTCACTCACCGCAGGCCGGGGCGGTACATAGCGGGGTGGCCGCGAGAACCGAGCGGAGCCGGGGAGATAAGGAAGGCGGGGAACCAGGGAGCAGCGCCGAGAGCGGGAGCTCAGGCTGGGCGGGAGGCGCTTAAAGAGGAGGCGGGCCGGCGCAGGGGCGGGACCCAGCAGGGCCGGAGGGACCCTCTCTCCGCCCCCGGGCTACCCGCGGGTCCGCCCAGCCGCGGCCCCACCCGCTGCATCCTAGCCCCCAAACCCTTGTCTCCCATTGGAGGGTTGGTTCCTCTCCTCGGCGCCCCTCCCCGAAGCCCCGCCCCACCGCCCCGCCCCACCGCCCCGCCTCGCCCCCTGCACATGATGTAATTTTGAGGACTCTTGCTCCTGGGAAATAGCGACCGGCAGGCACTGGGTGGCAAACCAGCCAAGAACTAGGGGCGAGGCCAGGGGCGGAACCCACGGGTAGCTGGAAGTTTAGCAGCCGGAGGCTGGGCATTGACTTTCCCTTTCTTCCCGGGGCTTGGGCACTCAGAGCCCAGCTCTTCTGTTGTCCAGAATTCTAATATCATGTTTCCTTCAGTCCCCAGCTCGCAAGTCCCCGTTTCTTCTCCCGGAGATGAGGATTCTTCTCTGCCCTACCATGGTGGTAATGTCTCTCCATCCCAGAATCTCTTCTTTGGGGCTCTGGACTGATCATTCCCTCCACATTCCCCTGAAGAACCCATCTGCCCCAACCAACCATAAAGTCCTCTGGTAATTTCTCAAGTTACGTCTCCATCCAGACATCTGTCTTCAGCTTGAGGCCCTGGGTATTACCCCAAATGCCACAGCACCTCAAACTCAACATGGCTATGGTCAGCCAGCATCCATTCCCTATTTCTGTTAATGGCACCCTGATGTTCCTTTGGGGAACCACCTCCTCAAACTGTGTGGTCCTGTGGGCCTCCTGGGGGTGGGCTCTGAGCTTGGCCAAATTGTGTATTCTTTGCTCTGGCCATAGCCAGTGGAAATGTTCAGGAGTGGGGGTGATGTCTCTCTCTCTCTCTCAGGCTTTTTCTGTCAGCTTTCAAAATGGGCTGCCTATCTGCTGGGGTTGCTGGGCTGGGAGAACCTAAGCCTGATGCTGCTGGGTGTCAGCTTGGCCCTGCAAAGGAGGAACCTGCCTGAGATGGAAACCAGCTTAGAGGAAGCAGGCCAAGGGATGGAGAGCAACAGATTCCTGATTTGAGGGTTCATTTCAGTTCAGTTCAGTCGCTCAGTCGTGTCTGACTTTTTGTGACCCCATGAATCGCAGCACGCCAGGCCTCCCTGTCTATCACCAACTCCCGGAGTTCACTCAAACTCATGTCCATCGAGTCGGTGATGCCATCCAGCCACCTCATCCTCTGTCGTCTCCTTCTCCTCCTGCCCCCAATCCCTTCCAGCATCAGGGCCTTTTCCAATGAGTCAGCTCTTTGCTTGAGGAGTACTGGAGTTTCAGCTTCAGCATCAGTCCTTCCAATCAACACCCAGGACTGATCTCCTTTAGGATGGAATGGTTGGATCTCCTTGCAGTCCAAGGGACTCTCAAGAGGCTTCTCCAACACCACAGTTCAAAAGCATCAGTTTTTCGGCACTCAGTTTTCTTCACAGTCCAGCTCTCACATCCATACATGATCACTGGAAAAACCATAGCCTTCAAGGGTTAGGAATCAATAAATATTTTCTCTTGCTCGACCTAATTGTAAGAGGATTTCTGCTATTTGTAACAGAAACAATCTTGATTCTCAGATTTCTGAGTTCTGTGCTGGAATATCATGGGACAAGGGGAGCTGGTCTCCAGCCTTGGGCTTGCTACCGACCCTCATCTCTTCCACCCAGGCTCCATCCTGGACTCAACATCATGTGTATGTATTTGGGACAATTCTTGCAGTCCCTACATCCAAACTCTGTCTATAGCCACTCCACTGCAAGCAGCTGCCTCTTTGTGCCTGCTCTCTGGGCCTAAAGATGTGCACACTGGTGGCATCACAGCCAACCTTTCAAAGTGATGCTGAAAGCCCAGCTTGTCTGTACACTGGTGCCGAATCTAATCTTGGCGACGGAGTTTTGGGTGAAGTAGAAAAGAATTAACTTTATTACTTTGCCAGGCAAAGGAGGCTACAGTGGGTTAATGCCCTTAAAACTGTGTGTCCCAACTTGGAGAAGATAGTGAGAAATTAATAATTGTTCGAAGAGAGCATGATCAACTTGTGGATGTTCTTCTGATGGGTTGGTGGTGAGGTAAGTAAGAGTCAGCATCATCAACCTTCAGGTCCAACTGGTACATGCTTGTGGATAGGATACCATCATTTGATAACTTCTCCACCTGGAAAAGTTTTCAGGATTTGCAAAAATAACTCAAGGATATTATTATGTATATCAGTTTCTAGGGAAACAGGACCTTGCCCCATACTTGCCCTTAACTGTGTCTCCCTGGTCTTGCATGCCTTCCCTTCCCTAGTTAACAACTGCTTGAATCTGTCCATTGGAACTCAGGGAAGATCATGGAGGCTGAATGAGGGCTGTTTCCTATAATCAAAGAAATGGGGGACACAGAAAGTCTTTGCACCTAGGAGCCCCACTGAGCCTAGCTTGATATCAATAGGTCATCATCTCTTCTGCTCTCATGGTTCCCTATCAGCAAATGGAGCCACTATCTAGCCAGTTGCCCCAGAAGAACCTGAATCAGTCTGGACTCTTCCTTCCTTATCTTCCACAGCCAATCAGACACCAGGACCTTTGGATTTGTACTTCACAATTAGCTCTCAAATCAGTGTCTGTCTACTTGACCCTTGCCTTAGTTCAAGGTTTATCCCTCACTTGGCTTCAGACAATAGCTTCCAAGCACCTGCTTGGCCTCCCACATCTCCAAATGCCACTCCCTCTCCCTCCCATTAAGTTCTTCTCCACATAAGTTCACATTTGCACAGTTGCACATAAGTTCACTTTGGAAAATTAAGAGAGAAGGATAATGTTTATTGTATGGCCACTAGTTGCCAGGCTATGAACCAGCAGTTTTACATGCATGTGTGTGCATGCTCAGTCGTGTCTGACTCTTTGAGACCCAAGGGACTGTAGCCTGCCAGGCTCCTCTGTCCATGGGATTTCCCAGGCGAGAATACTGGAGTGGGTTGCCATTTCCTCCTCCAGGGGATCTTTCTGGCCCAGGGATGGAACCTGCATCTCCTGGGTCTCCCGCATTGGCAGGCAGATTCTTTGCTGTTGAACCATTGGAGAAGTTCTTTACATGCACAGTCTCATTCTGTTTCACAACAACTGTTTTATTAATGTGGCCACTGAGGCTTAGAGTTTAAGCCATTTTTTCAAAGTCACACAGCTGATCAGCAGGAGAAATAGAATCGGAATCCAAGTTTTTCTTTTTTTTGAACCCAAGTTTTTCTGACTCTAATTACCAAGTTGTTTTTTTCCCCCTGCAATTCTATATTGTCTCTGATTTATCATTAAGGAAAAAATGAGATCATAGCATTCTTAGGCTTAAAACTCTTTGAAGGCTTCCTACCACATGACAACTGATGTCTTTCATAATCTGTCTTCTGTTTATCCAGTGGTATCGCCTCCCCCTCTTTATTTGATGTCTTCTCTCCTATATGCCAAACTGCAGTTTCCAGAGCACAGCTGGGAATCTTCTGCCCTTCAGGTTTAAATTAAATATAACCTCCTGTGTGAAGGTCAGTGTGCCCCTTAGAATTAACATCTCTCTCATCTGTGTTAGCTCTATACTATGTGCATACCTATATCTTTGAATTAATTGTAGTTTATTATGGTTGTTTTTGTATCTATAATCCCTGGTCCTTTTAGTCTGACCAGCCAGGTGGTCCAGTGTCAGTGGAACACCACCAGGGGGCAGGGCAAGCCTTGGCTTGGTCTGCATTTTCTGCTCCCCAGGGCCCTCTGGTTCACCCCATGGATGTCTCACAGAACCTCTGCAGTAGATACTAGGAGTGTGGCCCAGATCCCCACTTTAAACTGAGTGGGACCCTGTGGGACCCTCCCAGGTACAAATCCTTTTTGTGTCCCCAGTTTCTTATTTGGAGGAAAAAGGCTTCAGCTTCCAGACCTTCCCTGAGTACCAAAGGGCAGATTCAAACAGTTACTAATCAGGGAGGAAAGATAATGCAGAAACAGAGGAGGAGCAGTTCAGAAAGGATAGTGTGGCTATAAAGCAGGGTCCTGGTTCCTGCTCAAGGGATATCAGTTCAGTTCAGCTCAGTTCAGTTGCTCAGTCATGTCCGATTCTGTGACGCCAGGGACTGCAGCACACCAGGCCTCCCTGTCCATCAGCAACTCCTGGAGTTTACTCAAACTCAATGTCCATTGAGTTAGTGATGCCATCCAACCATCTCATCCTCTGTCATCCCCTGCTCCTCTTGCCTTCAGTCTTTCCCAGCATCAGGGTCTTTTCAAATGAGTTAGTTCTTTGCATCAGGTGGCCAAAGTTTTGGAGTTTCAGCTTCAGCATCAGTTCTTCCAATGAATATTCAGGACTGATTTCCTTTATGATGGACTGGTTGGATCTCCTTGCAGTCCAAGGGACTCTCAAGAGTCTTCTCTAACACCACAGTTCAAAAGCATCAGTTCTTCTGCACTCAGCCTTTTTTATAGTCCAACTCTCACATCCATACATGACTACTGGAAAAACCATAGCTTTGACTAGACAGACCTTTGTTGGCAAAGTAACATCTCTGCTTTTTAATATGCTGTCTAGGTTGGTCATAAACTTTTCTTCCAAGGAGCAAGAGTCTTTTAATTTCATGGCTGCAGTCACCATCTGCAGTGATTTTGGAGCCCCCCAAAATAAAGTCTCTCACTGTTTTCACTGTTTCCCCATTTATTTGCCATGAAGTGATGGAACCAGATGCAATGATCTTAGTTTTCTGAATGTTGAGTTTTAAGCCAACTATTTCACTCTCCTCTTTCACTTTCATCAAGAGGCTCTTTAGTTCTTCTTTGCTTTCTGCCATAAGGGTAGTGTCATCTGCATATCTGAGGT